GAAAATCAACTAACCATAAATCAATTTGATTACTTTGATCTATATGTCTAATCTTATGCCAATACCTCATTGTCTTGATTACTGTAGCTTTGTAGCAACTTCTGAAATTGAAAAGTATGAATTCTCCACTTTGTTTATTTTCAAATTACTTTTGCTATTCAGAGTCCTTAACGTTTCCATATGACTTGTAAGATGCCTTCTGAGGCGAGGAAGCGAACCATGCAGAAAGCTGGGGGACAAAGTGGTCCAGACAGTGGGAAAGGCAAATGCAAAAGCCCTGTGGGTGAATGTGCCTGTTTAAAGGACAGTGATGATGCCACATGGCACAGTGAAGGAGAGGAGTAATGGGAGATGCTGTCAGAAAGGTAAACAAGGAATAGGAGGGAGGAGGCAGATATGTGGAGCCTTGTCGGTCCTGTAAGGAATTTAGCTTCACTCCATGTGAGTGGAGAGGTGATTAGAGAACACTGAGCCGAAGAGTGACATGATGTAACTGGAATTTTTAATAGACTCACTGTGGCTATTATGTAGAGAAATCACCAAGGGGACCAAGGAGCTCAGCAAGGAGGAAGTTAGGAGATGCAAGAGATGATGATGGCTTGGACTAGGGTACTAACAGTGGGGATGAGAAGGAAAGAGAAGTGGTCAAATCCTGGATATATTTTGAAGGTAGAACCAAGAGGATTTAAGACAGGATGGATATAGGATATGAAAAAAAGAGTCAGAAATGTCTCCAAGGACTTAAGACTGAACAACTGGAAGAATATAATTGGAAAGCCTCATTCTTTTGGGAGAGAGGAGGAGGCTTGGACAGGATGCTCAGATCAGTTCCGGCCATGTTAGGTTTAAGATACTCATTAGATATTGGAAGTACCAGTGTGTAGTAATGGGAGTGATCTAGTCTAGAAACACAAATTTGGGAGTCATCGACCTGAAGACAGTCTTCACAGCTGATATTTAAATCTGGTGGGAACCATGAGACTGGATTGGATCACATAGGAACAGAAAAAAAAATAGAAGTCCAGGGACTGAGTCGTGGACACTATTGTGGTAGAAAGTTGGGGAGATGAGGAGTAATCTGCAGGTCACTCCAGTGTAGCTCTACAGCTGCCATGGGCTGTTATCTTCGTGGTGTTTGAAGAAGAGGGGAGCACACATGTCGGGGAAATCCTTGCGAGGTGACTCAGAAACCATGGGACACGGGCATCTAGCTAAGAGGCCTCTTCCAGAAGCCCTCTTGTTTACAACACTCAGTTCAGAGCAGTCTAAGGCGGCACCCTAGAATCCCCTTTCGGGAGCAGGCCTTTCCGTCCGACTCTCTCGGGCAGGAAGCGGGCAGGGATGGCGAGCGTCAGGGCACACGCAGGCACAAGTGGGCTGCTTTCTAGAGGATGACTTGGCAACACTTAGATAGTGAAGGCCTTAGAAATGAGTCCAGGTGCCCTGGCTGGCTTGGCTCAGCTGCTGGAGCGTTGGCCTGTGGACTGAAGGGTCACGGGTTGGATTTGTGGTTGCAGGTTCAATCCTGGGAGGCATCCAATGCATGTGTCTCTCTCACATTGATGTTTCTCTCTGTCTCCCTTCCATTCTATCTAAAAAATAAATGGAAACAGTATCCTCGGGTGAGGATTAACAAAAATTAATAATAATTATAAGTCCATGCTTTAACCCTTTAACAGTGGTTTCAATTCTAGGAATTTAGCCAAAGGAAATAATTAGGCAAACATGCAAACATGTGCATGTAAGAATATTTATTGCAGGCGGTTTAGCATGTTTTAAAGACTGAGACCCCCCCCCCCCATGTGCTACATGAGGAAATGCGTTTCGGTGAGCCCGGCTTCACCACGCAGTGGGGCTGGGGCCAGCCATGAGCACCTGCTGTGTCTGCTGGGGTGAGAAAGACACCCCACCACTCAGGTGGTGCTCCTGGCCCAAAGCACACAAACTGAGGAGGCACAAAATAACTGACCTGTGTTCATAAAAATGTCAATATGACAAGAGACAAAGGCAGTCCAAGAGGCTGCACTCATACTAAAGGAAACTGAGAGATGACATGGAGTAGAACGCCCGATCCCGGACCGGATCCGGACCACTAGAAATCCTTACCAATCATTATAAGAAACATTATGGGGCAATTGGCAAATTTTCAATATGGATGGTATATTAGATAATAGTACTGTATCTACCTAAGTTTTGAAAAGAAAAAAAATTCTTTGATGTTCTAAATTGAAATTACAGTGGCTGGAGTGCGGGAGAAAGACCGGAGTCAGCCTGTGGACCAGCTTTGAGAACCACCGGGCACCGTCGGACCGCAGGAGTCTCTGCTTCCCGCATACAGGTGAAGTTCCTGATCTGTGATCTGCGGCCAGAGTGTGTCCACAGGAGCAGACACTTCTTCCCGCTACTCTGTGCCTCCCCCAGAGCTGGCCCGCTTCACCCTCTCCCGTCCCCTTAGTCTATAGCTGTGTAAAGCCTTTCAGAGCGCTCTCTTCCCCAACCTGATGTATCAAAACACTGGCAACTCTCTGGGACTACAGACCTGTCCACCTAGCCATGCTGCTGGGGGTTTGGGCTCCAGGCCCTAAAACAGTCTTCTGTTTTTGCTATCAGTGGCCTAATAAACCCTTTCTAAAAAATATATTAATTTTAGAGAGAGAGGGAGAGAGAGAAAAAAAATCAATTTGTTGTTCCACTTATTTATGCATTCATTAGTTGATTCTTGTTTGTACCTTGACTTGGGATAGAACCCACAATCTTGGCATATCAAGACAACTCTAACCAACTGAGCTACCTGGCCAGGGCTGAACCCTTTCTTCCTTTTTATTTTTTAATCCTCGCCTGAGGATATTTTTCTATTTATCTTCAGATAGAGTGGGAGGGAGAAAGAGGGAGAGAAGGGGAGAGGGAGAGAAACATCGATGTGAGAGGGACACTTCAACTGGTTGCCTCCCACATGACCCCAACCAAGGATGAACTGCAACCCAGGTACGTGCCCTTCGCCAGAATCGAACCTGCAACTCATTGGTTGGAGGGACAACACTCTACCGCTGAGCCAACCCAGCTAGGGCCTAAACCCTTTCTTTTAAAAAGACTTTCAGGCCCTGGCCAGCTTGGCTCAGTGGTTGGAGCGTCAGCCTGTGAACCAGAGAGACTCGGGTTCAGTTCCCACTAGGGATGCGTACCAAAAGAAAAACAAACAAACAAACAAACAGACAAACAAAAAATTTAAAAAGACTTTCAGGGCCCTGGCCGGTTTTGCTCAGTGATTAGAGCATCGGCCCATGGACCAGAGAGACCCGGGTTCCTTTCCTGCTAAGGGCACGTACCTCGGTTGCAGTTTGTCCCCAGCCCTGGTTGGGGTCGTGTGGGTGGCAGTCAGTCAATGTTTCTCTCTCACATAGATGTTTCTCTCTCTTTCTTCCCCCCCCACCCCGCTCTATCTGAAGATAAATGCAAAAATGTCCTTGAGTGAGGATTTAAAAATAAATAAATAAATAAATAAATAAATAAATAAATAAATAAATAAAATAAAAAGAATTTCACGCCCTAGCCAGTGTTGCTCAGTGGATAGAGTGTTGGCCTGCACACCAAAGTGTCAAGGGTTCACTTCCCAGTCAAGGGCATGTACCTGGGTTGCAAGTTCGACCCCAGCCCTGGTCAGGGGCATGTGTGGGATAGTGACCCCAAAGTCCAGGATTTACTCAAGAAGATAAGATGAATCAGGGCAATGAATTCCCTTTTGTAATCTTGTTTAGTCCAAGTTTATAGTCAATTACCGTCACCCTAGTGTGGCTCAGTTGGTTGAGCATCATCTCATGCACCAAAAGGTTGCTGGTTCGATTTCAGGTCAGGGCACATGCCCAGGTTTCAGGTTACCAAGAGCAACCAATTTGATGTTCTCCCTCACGTGGATGTTTCTCTCTCCCTCTCCCTTCCTCTCTCTTCAAAAAAAAAAAATCAGCCCTGGCCGGTTTGGCTCAGCGGTTAGAGCATCGGCCTGCGGTCCAGAGAGACCCGGGTTTGGTTCCCACTGAGGGCACGTACCTTGGTTGCAGTTTGTCCCCGGCCCTGGTTGGGTCGTGTGGGAGGCAGTCACTCGATGTGTCCCTTTCACGTCAATGTTTCTCTCTCTCTCTCTCTCTCCCTTCCACTCTATCTGAACAAAAAATGGAAAAAATGTCCTCGGGTGAGGATTTAAAAAAAAAAAAAATCAATAAAAGCATTTTTCTAAATAAATAAAGTCAATGACTGGCATTCCTTGCATCCCAGGGGCCTCTGCGTGGAGAGAGGGGACGGGGAGGGGAGCGAGCGAACGCAGTGTTTGCTCAGAGCGAGCCAGACTGCAAAACTGAGCGAAGACATCACTGATCGCTGAGGGCGACCTCATGTGGTCCTCTCCAAAGGAAGGCCAGGATGGCTCCCAAACCTGCATCTCAGCTATTCCCCAAAAGGACAGAAGCCCCAGCAAGGGCCAAGATAGGTCCGAAGTCCCTGGGTTTCCTCTGCCAAGGGTAGTAGTTTCAAGTCATGCAAAGTTGCAGATTCTCTGGGAATCATCTGTAGTGACCTCAGAAAACAAGCATCCTCCGCTGCTGGGCAGAGGACTAGAGAGCGCTCATCACCCCACCACTGGCTCACACCTCTGCTTCCAGGCCCTGACCTCCCGGACACATGTGGCACCTTGCAATTCCCATCAGAAAGGAGAGACCATATCAACAGAAGGGCCGGGCCTGTCCCCAGGGCCCTCGCCGGCCCAGTTCTCTCCTCCCATCACCTGGCCTCCAGCCTCTCTGCCTCTTCTCCCCCACCCCCAGGGCTTGTCAGGGACGGAAGGCCCCTCCCTCATCCCCCTCCATACCCCTCCCCCTCCCCATCACTAGGGTGTCCAGGACATTGTGTGACTCAGGAAACAACTCAGACGTGAGGCCTGAGGAGGCCAAGGAGGAGGAAGACGGGCTGTGAGCGGAGAAGGTGGCTCCTGACCGCAGGGCTCGGCGGGGATGCAGCCCCCGCGGCTGCCGCTGCTGCTGCTGCTGTGCTGCTCCGCGGGGGCCAGAGGTGAGGCCGGTGGCAGAGGCAGGGACCCCTCTTCCCTAGCAGGTTTCTGGGGGATGGGGCAGAGGGGTGAGCCCCAGGCTCCGAGGTGACACTGGGTGGAGGAGGTTCGTGCCCCCTAGACGGGAACAGCCTGCAGGGAGAGACCATGCTGCTGGGTCTGAGCAGGCCGAGGCTGTGGCCCCGCTGCCAGCAGACCGTCGGGGGATGGTGACAGGTTGCTCACCCCGGGAGAACCCAGCTGGCCCTGGAGCTGGGGTCAGCGGGCTCATTTAGGAGGGGACGAGGACCAGACTGACCACCGGTAGGGAAAGAGATGTGAGGGAGCGGAGATGGACATGCAGAAAGGCCAAGGGCTGACCGAGTCCCTCTCCGGGAGCAGCTGCCCCAGCCCCCCAGGGCTCAACGCTGGGCCCTTCCGGGAGGAAATCCGTCCTCTGTCTCAGCCTTTCACCTCCCAGGAGCCCCTCACCCCCCTCCTGATCCCTGTTGTCTTGCTTCCGGCTTCCAGGGGATGGAGCCTGAGGCTGGACTGGGAGCCAGAGGGGGGAAAAAAAAAACAGGAAAAGGGGTGGGGATCAGTGAGAGGCTGGGATCTGCTGGGGTGGGGGTGAGGCGGCACCTCCTGGGGACTAGAAACGCACGGAGGCTAATGTGGTTTGGCTGCTGCAGGCCGGTCACCTGGAGCTCCTAGCCCATCCTTGTCTCCACCCCAGGGCTGCCCTGCGGGAACTTCTCTGGACCCTGTGCCAACGGAGGCACCTGCCTGAGCCTGTCCCTGGGCCGAGGCACCTGTCAGTGAGTGTGCTGCGGGGGTGGGGGCTGGAGGGGGAGGAGGGACAGAGGCCACCGGCACCAGCGCTGAGCTTCCTCTCCTCCCTGCCCAGGTGTGCTCCTGGCTTCCTGGGGGTGACATGCCAGTTCCCTGACCCCTGCCAGGATGCCCGGCTCTGCCAGAACGGGGGCAGCTGCCAAGCCCTGCTTCCTGTCTCACCAGCCTCCCCCAGCGCCCCCTCTCCCTTGACCCCCAGCTTCCTCTGTACCTGCCCCTCTGGCTTCACTGGTGAGAGGTGCCAGGCGCAGCTCAAGGACCCCTGTTTCTCCTTCTGTTCCAAAATGGGCCACTGCCACGTCCAGGCCTCGGGACGCCCCCAGTGCTCCTGCTTGCCTGGGTGGACAGGTGAGCCCTGGTGGGGTGGGGAGGAGGGACCGGCAGGAGCCCTGGGCTGGGCTGCAGAGGAGGAAAGAAGTCTGAGTGGTGAGGACAGAGGTCATGAGAATCAACACGACTCTTGGTGACATATTCATACGAGATCGACATCCACCAGCAGAGTTGAACTGACTGTTAAAATGCTGACATGTTTCCTAACCAGTTGGTAAATAGCTACTGCCATACCCCTCAGTGTACCACCCTGAGCCCTTTCCCAGCCCCTCAACCTCCCCTCCACCCAGTAGCTAGAGGTGAAGCGGCACAGCCGGGACCTCTGTACTCTGAGCATCCGAACGGCCTCCGGCTGTTGGGTGCCACCAGATCTCGAGGACGACCTGGAGGGGGAGTCCGAGAGGGGGGCAGGTGTGATGGAGGGTGAGACGGGGGTGGAAAGGATCTGAGCTGGGGAGTTACAGGTGCCTCTCCCAGGAGGAGGGTGCAGCCCTCGGGCAGGACATGTGATGGGAAGGGCTACCCTGAGGAAAGGCTTGGGGTTCGAGGACAGAGCTGTGAGGCCCTGGAGAGGAAGGGTCCACAGGACCATAGAGGGATGACGGGGCTGGTCCCGGTGGTCAGAGGCCACATGAGAGAGTCCCTGGGCCAGGCAGCCTGTGTGGCAGCTGGCACCTGGCACCGCAATCACCTGACGTTCTTAATAAACACTGGTCCCAGCCCAGAAAGAGTGTGGATTCGGGCGGCCCGGGCGTGGAGGCGTGTGAGCTCCCCAGGTAATTCTGAGGAACCTGGGCCTGAAAGTGGGTGCCACAGAGTCGGCCCCTCCCCAGGCCCAGGGCCAGCTCTGCCACCCACTGGACGTGACCTGCAGCAGGGGTTTCCGCTCCGGGGCTGGTGGGTCAGCTGACCCGCACCCCTCACATGCTGTGGCGAGGAGGTGCCTGCTGAGCCGCGGGCTGGCACAGCACACGCCCGAGTGCCGTCCACTGGTGCACACGGCTGTGAGGTCTCTTCACTGCCAAAGTCTAGGAAAGCGGGCTGAGGGAGGCCAGACGACCACGCAGGCACACAGCCGGCAGTGGGCAGCAAGGTCCTGTCTCCTGCCTGCAGGGCCTGCCACACTCCGCCTCCCCGCCACCGGCACCGCTGAAGGGACCCTGGTCCCAGACCTTCCCGGGCAGGGCTGGTTTGCAACACGACCCCAACAACTACATGCCCTGCTCTTAGCTTAGAAAATGTAGTCACTCCAGGCATAACCCTCCCGAGGAACAAGCAAAGCTGAGGCGAGAGCGATGGGACGGCAGGGTCTGGGAGCCGCGGGGGCCAGGGGTTAGCAGAGAACGTGGGTGGGGCAGGCTCTGGCGCTGGAGTGCGCAGTGCCCGGCATCCTCTGCGCAGGTGAGCAGTGCCAGCTCCGGGACTTCTGCGCCAACAACCCCTGCATGAACGGAGGGGTGTGTCTGGCCACCTACCCCCAGATCCGCTGCCGCTGCCCACCTGGCTTTGAGGGCCACGCCTGCGAACACGATGTCAACGAGTGTTTTCTGGACCCGGGACCCTGCCCCAAGGGTGTCATCTGCCACAACACCCTGGGGTCCTTCCAGTGCCTCTGCCCCGCTGGGCGGAAAGGTCCAGGCTGCAAGCTCAGGCCAGGACCCTGTCCCCCAACAGGCTGTCCCAAGGGGGGCACCTGCCAGCTGGTTCCAGAGAGAGACTCCACCTTCCACCTCTGCCTCTGCCCCCCAGGTATGTCCTCCAGGAGCGTCCTCCAGCCCCTCTGGCAGGCAGCTCGTCTCCCTCCCTCCACTGACCCCACCACCCTGTCAGGTCTCACAGGCCCAGGCTGCGAGGTGAATCCAGATGACTGTGTCGGGCACCGATGTCAGAATGGGGGCACTTGCCAGGATGGACTGGGCACCTACACCTGCCTCTGCTCAGAGGCCTGGACAGGTGAGTCGTTTAAGCCAAGTTCATGGCGCCAGTGGCCCAGATGGTCAGCCCCTGGCCTCCCCTCCCACGAGGCCCCAGCTCCAGCGTGGTCTCCGTCCCACCCTGCTGCAGGCTGGGATTGCTCTGAAGATGTGGACGAATGTGAGCCCCAGCGTCCCCCTCGCTGCAGAAACGGGGGCACCTGCCAGAACTCCGCTGGCGGCTTCCACTGCGTGTGTGTGAGAGGCTGGGGGGGCCTGGGCTGCGAGGAGAACCTGGACGACTGCGCGGCTGCCACCTGCGCCCCAGGGTCCACCTGCATCGACCACGTGGGCTCCTTCTCCTGCCTCTGCCCTCCTGGCCGCACAGGTGTGGGCAGCGGGTCCGGGGAGGGGAGGAGGCTCTCCTACGAGAGAAGCAGGGTAGGAGCTGGGGGCTTCCAGTGGCCGCTGAGAGCCCCCCCCTACCCGCAGGCCTCCTGTGTCACGTGGAGGACGGGTGTCTGCACCAGCCCTGCCACCAGGAAGCCCAGTGCAGCGCCTTGATGGGCGCCACGCTGTGCCTGTGTCAGCCCGGCTACACAGGGCCCACCTGCCACCAGGACCTGGACGAGTGCCAGATGGGTGAGGCACCCCACATCAGATCCCCTCTGAGCCCCCGGCAGCCTCTGCACTGGAGACGGGCAAATTGTTTTCCAAATTAAAAATATGAACAACTCTTTTCCTGAACTTGTCCAGATTTGGCATCTCTCCCCTACATGGTCCCACCAACGCTCAGCCCTCCAGGCCCCTGTAGGCCTCTCCACCTTAAAGACACAGCCCTCTCCTGATGTGACCTCATCTGCCACACACGCCCTGCACTATCCCCCCAGGCAGGCTGGCCGCGCCTCCCACCGGCTCTGTGGACCCAGCTCTTCTCTCCTCCCAGCCCAGCAAGGCCCCAGCCCCTGCGAACACGGCGGCTCCTGCCTCAACACCCCTGGCTCCTTCGACTGCCTCTGTGCCCCTGGCTACACGGGCTCCCGCTGCGAGGCCGACCACGATGAATGCCTGTCCCAGCCCTGCCGCCCGGGCAGCACCTGCCTGGACCTGCTTGCCAGCTTCCACTGCCTCTGCCCACCAGGTACCAGCTGGGTGGGGCCGTGGGTAGAAGAGACAGGACCACTGAACACACAGGCCATCTTCCCTGAGGAGCATAGATGGCCCAGGCCCGCTGAGGTCAGTTACCCAAGAAAGTTTCTCCTCATGTCCCCACCCCAGGTGAAGACTCTGGGAAGCCCATGGCCCCAGACAAGGGCCCCAGATGGCAGCAAGGTTGTGCACTGCTCAGCTCGGGGGGCACACAGCCTGGTCCACTGTCCACGAAGGCCCATCCTGGGAGAGCAGAACAGCAGTTAATAAACGTCATGCCAACCCAGAATGCTCCTGCTAACAGAGACTCCTCTGCGGAGCTTAGCAGTAAAGCCCTTGAACCCCAAAGGGCCCGTGTGCTTGGATTTGTGCAGCAGGAGAGGGATGCTGCAAGGCCTCACCCAGCCGTAAGGCGAAGTCTCCCCAGGGAGGTAGTGACAGAGCCAATATTCAGAGCGAGATGAAACCGTAGCAGCTTGCTTGTGCCAGGTACTACCTGAGCCGCTGACGCATTACCTAATTCTTACGATAATCAATGAGGTCAGCATTGTTACTGTGCCCTCCTTTATAAATGAAGAAACTGAAGCACAGAGAGGTTAAGTGACCTGTCCAAGGTCACGCAGCTTGTAAGTGGCAGAGTCAGGATTCAAACCCAGGGCTGTTAGCCACTCCACTCCACTGCCTTCCTAAAGCTGAGCGGCTTCCAAGGAAAAATGCTGAGAAAACTGTTCGATAATCCAAGGGACAAGGTTATAGACATCAAGGAGCTCCAGAGGCAGGCTTCCCAGCCAGAAGGATCAGCCACCCTCTGCACAGAGAAATGGCCCCAAAAGACACGTCCCCGCAGCCCTCCCACAGGTCTGGCAGGTGCCCTGTTCCCGGAGCGCTCATCTCTGCAACCACACACACAGCACCCTGGGCGGGCTGCCGGATGGGGCCTGCAGCGGCGGGGCAGGCTGGTTCTAGAACACAGGCCTCCTAGGCAGAAGGCCGGGCTGAGGCCCCCTCACCAGAGCTCCATGTCCTCAGGCTTGGAAGGGCCGCTGTGTGAGCTGGAGATCGACGAGTGTGCCTCGGCTCCTTGCCTGAACCAGGCTGACTGCCGGGACCAGCTCAATGGCTTCCAGTGCGCCTGCCTGCCTGGTGAGTGCCGCTGAGCCCACACTTCAGGCTCCAGTCCTCCGCTTTGCTCCCCAAGCTCTCCTGCTCCATCCCCCAAATCTTCCTCCCCTTGCTTACCAGCTCACCCTCATCTGCGTCCTGCCAAATCGCCCTAAAGCCCTCCTTCCCAGACCTTCCCCAGAGTCCCCTGTACGTGCCCCTGCATGTCAGGGTCCCAGCTGATCTGGGCACTGCCCACCACGGACAGACACAGGGACAGCTGCCCCAGGCCTCCTCCCTGCGTTGGACATCTCTGTCCTGTGCTGTCACAATAACAGGTGTTTACTGAATATTTACTACGGGCCACATACTTGGCTCTACTTTTCGGGCACTGTCTAGTCTGCTTCTTTCTGTGGCACCCAGGTAGGTTCCATTATTAATGCTCTACAGGGGAGGAAACGAGCCCAGAGAGGGTGAGTAGCGTCCCAAAGTCACACAGCTGGCAGGTTGCTGAACTCCACCTTCGTGCACCTGCCCCAGGTGTCTTCTCCAGGAGGCCCTCCGGGTTCACCTTTTCTGGCCAGAGGAAGGGCCAGGACTGGTATTTATACTTTTGATAAGATGTATTTTCAGCATTAGTACATATATCCAGTGATGCCTTATTTATTTGGAGAATAAAGTTACCAAGTTATGCTCTATTACGTTCTGAAGCTCAAATCACTAAGAAGCCCTCAAATTGGTGCTTTCATTACATAATGATACATTTAGATAAAACCCAAACCAAGCCGTTTGATCTGTAGCAATGTCGTTTCTGTGTGTGCAAAGAGAGGCTAAATATCAGTGTAAACTCCTAATTTCTTTTGAATCCATGAAATCATGGCTATAAAGCTCAAACTTTTGTAACAAACTCCCTGGTACACGTACAGAAGAAAGAGATACCCTTCGCCATCCGTCCCCACCCACTCCCACCCTGGCAGGATTCACGGGCTCCCGGTGCGAGCAGGATATCAACGAGTGCGGCAGCTCTCCCTGTGCCAACGGTGGGCAGTGCCAGGACCAGCCTGGGTCCTTCCATTGTGAATGTCTCCCAGGTAAACTGGGGCTCAGACACTGGAGGGAGAGTGGGGGCCTGGGCGGACCTCCACAGGCCCCTGAGCCTGCCGCTGTGCCGTAGGCTTCGAAGGCCCGCGCTGCCAAGCGGAGGTGGACGAGTGTCTGAGTGGCCCATGCCCCACGGGCGCCAGCTGCCTTGACTTCCCAGGAGCCTTCTTTTGCCTCTGCCCCTCCGGCTTCACAGGTTAGCAGGGGAGGCACTGGCAAAGACTGGTGGGGATATTTGAGTCCCTTTGGGGTGGGGCAGAGGTCACAGGTGGTGTTGAGGGTTGGGACGTGAGACTAGAATGAGAATGGAACCCCTTATTCAGGAGGGCTGCGTGGCCACACAGGCTGGGGCACTGTTGTGGGGGCCACGGCAGGTCGTCACGAATGGTGTGATTGGGGGTTAGGAGCAGAGGACAGGGTTCAAAGGGAAGCCATTCATTTGCTTAGCATTTATCAAGTGCCAGCTGGCACAGGCACAGGCACAGTGGATACGAGAGCTGCCCTCCTCAAGTGGCTTTAAATCTGGGGCAGAAAGCCCAGCAGGTCTCTCGTGATTATGGCACAGAGAGGGGCTCTGAGAGCAGAACGCACAGGATCCTGGGACACAAAACCCACCGACCCTGACGGGAAATGAGAAGGCTTCACGAGCTGAGTCTTAGAGAATGAATAGGAGTTTGTCAAGGTAGAAGGCCAGCCGTTTGGGGGCATGGGCTGCTCAGTGGTTAGAGTGTCAGCCTGCTGACCGAAGGGTCAAGCGTTGGATACCCGGTCAAGGGCAGATACTTGAGTTGCAGGATTCATCCCTGGCCCCAGTCATGCAGGAGGCAAACAATCAATGTGTCTCTCACATTGATGTTTCTCTCTCTCTCTCTCTCCCTCCCCCACTCCCCCCCTTCCACTCAATGGAAAAATATCCTCAGGTGAGGATTATCAAAAAAAAAAAAAAGAGTCTGGCCAGTGAGGCTCAGTGGATGGTGTGGCTCAGTGAATGGTGTGGCTCAGTGGACGGTGTGGCTCAGTGGATTGTGTGGCTCAGTGGACCGTGTGGCTCAGTGGACGTGTGGCTCAGTGGACGTGTGGCTCAGTGGACGTGTGGCTCAGTGGACGGTGTGGCTCAGTGGACGTGTGGCTCAGTGGACTGTGTGGCTCAGTGGACGGTGTGGCTCAGTGAACGTGTGGCTCAGTGGACGGTGTGGCTCAGTGGACGTGTGGCTCAGTGGACTGTGTGGCTCAGTGGACGGTGTGGCTCAGTGGATTGAGCATCGTCCCATGGACTGAGAGGCCCAGGCCTTGATCCCCAGTTGGGGGCATGTGGGATAGGGGGCAGCTGATGAATGTTTCTCTCTCACATCGATGTTTCTGTCTCTCTCTCCCTTCCTCTCTCTCTGAAATAGCAACAAAAACATATTTGAAAAATAATAATAATAAATAAATAAATAAAAAGATAGAAGGTCAGATGATGTGTTTCAGCCACAGGTAACCACATGCACAAAGGTGCAGGGGGAGGAAAGGATGTCCCGCTTCAGGGGCTGTGGGACCGGAGCTTACAGTGCGGCGGGGCAAAGGGGAGAAAACCTGTCCTGCAGGGCCCTGGCTGCCCTTCTGAGGAAGTTCCAGTCTCCCAGGCAGCAGGGAGCCACTGAAGGGCAGGTTCCTGAGCAGTGAGCCTGACGTATATAGGAAGTGGCCTTCAGCCCCATCAAGGACATGGAGGGACCCTGTTTTCTCTCTGACCCATCTCCCCACCCCAGGTCATCTCTGTGATGTTCCCCTATGCGCCTCCAACCTATGCCAGCCCAGGCGAAACTGCCAGCGTCAGGAGGATGAGGCCCGCTGCCTCTGCCCCGACGGCAGCCCTGGCTGCGCCCCCCCTGAGGACGGCTGCACCTGCCAGCACGGGCACTGCCAGAGGTAGCGTCCCCATTGGCACTCGATTCTGGTCCCCAGCGAGGGCCACGTCTGTGGGAATGATCAACGGGGACTAGCAAGGAGCCGGCAAGGCTCCGAGGTCGCAGCCCGCGGAGGCTGGCTTGGTGGGCGCCAGGTCAGAGCAGAAAGAAGAGCGTTCAGTCCCAGGCCGGCTCATCGTCCGGAGACGAACGCTCGCTGAGCATCTGCTCTGCGCGGGCACTGTTCTGGGGCCCGGGGACAGCACAGCACAGGGGAACGTGTCTGCTCGCAAGGAGCTTTCCGTCTAATGAGCAGCCAGGGATGAGCAGTCGAGAAGGAACATATTTATACACAGAGAAAACCAGCTCGGAGGGAGGTGAGAGGGGAAGAGGCCACAGGGGCCTGACCAGTGGGGAGAGAGGAAGAGGAAACCTTCCCCTTTCTCTTTGTGACCAGATCATCATGTGTGTGTGACGTGGGTTGGACGGGACTAGAGTGTGAGGCAGAGCTGGGGGGCTGCGTCTCCACGCCCTGTGCCCATGGGGGGACCTGCCACCCCCAGCCCTCTGGCTACAACTGCACGTGCCCCACAGGCTACACAGGTGAGGCGCTCCCTGAACCATGTGCACCCTGGGCTGGCCCCCCTGAAGGGCAAGGCCAAAGGGCCTCGGTCTCTGTCGCCACCAAGAGACAGCATGGGCGGCAGGGGACACGGGTGGTGTGGGAGGTGGTGAGGAAAGGAAGCTGGGGGCGGAGAAGGGGGTTGGGGATGAGGAGAGGAAGGCGGGGGGGGGGGGGCAGTGAGAGGAGGGGAGAAAAGGAGGTTCCCTTTCGCAGGGCCCGCCTGCACGGAGGAGGTGACAGCCTGTCACTCGGGACCCTGTCTCAATGGTGGCTCCTGCAGCCCCAGCCCTGGGGGCTACTCCTGCACCTGTCCTGCAGGCCACACCGGCCCCCGCTGCCAGAGCACCGACCGCTGTGCCTCCGGTGAGTGCGCCTGTTCCAGGCCAGGCCAAGGGTGGTGGGCAGGGATGCTTGTGCCACAGTAAAACCTAATGGACAGTGTGAGCTAGTTTTTTGATGGCGGTGGGGAGTAATGTCCTGTATGTGGTGTGACTGAGGTCACAGGCCAGAAACCCAACCCCTCACAGCCTCCTCTCTCCAGCCCCGTGCCTCAATGGGGGCACCTGTGTGAACAGGCCTGGCACCTCCTACTGCTTCTGTGCTACTGGCTTCCAGGGCCCACGCTGTGAGGGAAGGAGCCGTCCCAGCTGTGCAGACAGGTGCGAGGGGGAAAGACCCGGGCGGGGGGGGAGCCCCTCAGCCTTCCTCCCTGTCTCCTCCACCTCCTCTGGGATCCGGCTGCCCCCCACCCACATCCCACACCCTTCACTGGCCTTCCCTCTGGTTCCCCAGCCCCCGTGGTTGCCGTCCCACACGGCACACCCTCCCCCTTATCTTCTGGACCTTCTTCCCCCTGCGCCCTGTCTCTGGGCCAGCCCCTGCAGAAACGGTGCTACTTGCCAAGATGGGCCCCAGGGTCCCCGCTGCCTCTGCCCTGCCGGCTACACAGGAGGCAGCTGTCAGGTGAGGGCGCTGAGCCCGGTATGCTGGGGGGGAGGGGGCACAGAGCTCTGGTGAGAGGGTCTCACACTGCAAGGTGGGCAGCAGGGAAGTGTGGGCAACGTACCCACACGAAGAAAGTTTCGAAGCCTAGGCACTGAGGTCTGTGTGGAAGGGAAGGACTGAAAGGGTGTCTGATCCCAGGCACTGTTCTGGGATGTAGGAAGCAAAGGAACCAGGGAGGGGGTCCCAAGGTCAGGGAGTTTGAGGAGCTGATGCTGGCAGAGGACCGTCTCTGGGCCTGGAAACCTGATGTTCTGTCCAGCCTCATGCTCCCTCCAACCCTCAGACTCTGATGGACCTGTGTGCCCAGAAGCCCTGTCCACCCAAGGCGCACTGCCTCCAGACTGGGCCCTCCTTCCAGTGCCTGTGCCACCAGGGATGGACTGGGCCTCTCTGTGAAGTCCCGCTGTCCTCCTGCCAGAAGGCTGCCCAGAGCCAAGGTACCAACCAAAGGGCCCAGTGGGGAGCTGATGAAGAGAAAGACAGTGCTCTCCTCTATCCCGTCCCTAAGGGCATGCACACATTTGGCCAGAGAAACAACCAACTGAGGGTCCAAGCAACACAGACCAACCACAGTGCCTGAGTCCACAGCTCCGCGCAGGGCATCCTCCCCCAGCGCGGCGCAGGGCATCCTCCCCCAGCGCGGCGCAGGGCATCCTCACCCAGTTCGGCGCAGGGCATCCTCACACAGCTCAGCCCCCGGCACCACAATCAGCGCAACTCAGGAAACACCAACCAGCCCAGTCAACAGGACTCCAGTTAACAACTACCAGGACCTAACAGTGTGGAGCAACTCCACCCTGTCATTATTGTCACCTCAGCTATAGGGGACCACATCTAACCCAACTATACTCAACACACTTCTGTGCGTTCCACATATTTGATGCCACACCACCCCCTTGTAAAAGAATAACCCTTGATAACATGAGGTTTGATATAAGAAGACCTCAGAAAAGAGACTTGTGGGGTTAGGAGTGGTTGGTGGGAGTCACAGTGAGAACATTGGAGGGTGCGGAACGCATGCTCTAACCTCTGGATCTCTTAGGGTTATCAGAACGGCCAGGGTGGAACTTGATATATTGCTCTCTTCCGTGTCAGGAGATACTGACCCCTCAGGCATCCACCTACCCAGGGATGTTAGTGGTCCCCGCAGGCCTCTCTGCTTATTGTCTGAGGCCTGAGCACCCTTCCACCCACTTGCTTTATTGATCCCTGTTTGTCTTTCTCCCCAGGCACAGAAGTATCTTCCCTGTGCCAGAATGGGGGCCTCTGCATTGACAGTGGCCCCTCCTATTTCTGTCACTGTCCCCTTGGATTCCAAGGCAGTATGTGCCAGGACAGGGTGAACCCATGCCAGTCCAGGCCCTGCCAGCATGGGGCCACCTGCATGGCCCAGCCCGATGGGTATCTCTGCCAGGTGAGCGGGTCCAGAAGACAGGGCATGGGGGTGCCAAGCGTGGGCGGGACATGGGAAACAGTAGTCATGGAGGGTTGTAGCCATCTCCCTAACTCTGTCCCACACACCCAGCCAGCCACCAAGTCACACCATTTTACCTCCTAAATAGTCTCAGTTTTGTTCTTGTCCCTTCACCCTCCATCCGCTGCCTGAGTCCCAGCCTGTGCTGCATTCCGCCCGACACCTGCACCCGCCTGCCGTCGCCCCTGCCTCCACACTCGTCCCCCTACACGCTCAGCCTTTCCTCTGCTCCCGCCGTGCTCTGCTGGCGTGGTGAGCTGACCTGTCACGCCCCTGCTTGAAACCCTCGCAGCTGCTCACCTCCTTCACAGTGAAGTTCAAAGAACGAGAGAGGCGAGGCTGAGATGCAGCCGCAGCAGCCCGACCCGTGTTCAGAACCACGGCTTTGGATGGAAGACACCAGGCAGTTCCCTCACCATCCTCTTTAGCTTTTTATTGTGAGCGTGTTCACACACACACAGGCAGGGAGCCCTCACGCACCTGTTACTCAGCTTTACTTTCTAGTTCATGAAACTCCCTCCGGAAGTTTCCAAAACAACCCCTCATCTGCTTCTTCCAGCCCTCTGGCCCCTTCTTTGCGAACCCCTTTCCCTCCATCTTTCCGAAGCCTCCCTGGGTTCCATTCTTGCATGCTCGCCTCCTCCAAGAACTCCGCCCGTGGCCCGGCTTGTCAACGAGTCCTCTCCAGCAGAACGACAGGAAGCAACCAGAAGATGGTTAAGGGCCCTGGCCATGGAGCCAGTCACTTAATCTGTCAGGGAATCAGCTTCCCTTTCTGTGAAGTGAGAGTAAAACGAGATCATCTATATGAAGGGCTTGGGGAGGACGGTGTGAGGTTATGCATGTAAATCATGCAAGAGCGCTAGCTGTCTCCCTCCTGGCCGCCTGAGAACCTGGTGGAAGCAGGGACGAGTTCTGGTTCTCTGCGCATTCCTACTGCCTGAAATGGTGACGGACACACAGTAGGCATTCAATAGATGCTCCCAATAAAGCATGGCGCAGCCTGGTGGGTGTATGGCTGGGGCGGGGTTCTACTGCTGTTTAGCAGCATTGTGTCTGAGGCGGTGCGGGACGCGGGTGGGGTAAGTTGTGTGCTATTGAACAACTGTCGTGTGGAGTTGAGATGGCTGGTGAGCTGGGTGACAATGTTGAGTTGGAAGGTGGGGTGGACTTTCTCGAGCTGGGTCCCCTGTAGTGGGGGGACGGGCTCGCTTCCTGGTTCCCTGTCTGACCCTCTTCGCCTGCAGTGTGCCCCAGGCTACAATGGACAGAACTGCTCAAAGGAAACCGATGCTTGTCAATCCCAGCCCTGTCACAACCACGGGACCTGCACCCCCAAACCTGGAGGCTTCCACTGCGCCTGCCCTGCAGGCTTTGTGGGGCTGCGCTGCGAGGGGGACGTGGACGAGTGCCTGGACCAGCCCTGCCACCCCCCAGGCACTGCAGCCTGCCTCTCCCTAGCCAATGCCTTCTACTGCCGGTGTCTGCCTGGGCACACAGGTGAGGCCCGGGGGCGGGGGCATCCCTGTGGCACAGCTGAGCTGACCACAGACACCCAGATTATCCCCTCCCATAAGGCAGCCTGGTCACCTAGCCCAGGCCCCTGCCTCCACAGCCCAGCAGAGAGAATATGCCCCAGGATCCCTTTACCTGCGCAGCTGGTGCTGGGCCAACCTCCCAGGAATGAGCAAACAGGAGGCAGTTACCAGAGCAGTGTGTGACCCTCCCCCACCCCACCGCAGGCCAGCTGTGTGAGGTGAGGGTAGACCCCTGCCAGAGCCAGCCCTGCTCCCATGGAGGCTCCTGTGAGGCAGCAGCAGGACCACCCCCGGGTTTCACCTGCCACTGCCCCCAGGTGAGTGACGGCAAAGCTGCCTTCTCTATGCCCCCAACACCGACACGAGGTGCGGAAACCTGGGCTGGGACCCTAGCGGAGAGCCTGGAGCACGCAGTGGGAATTGCTGGAGAAAGCCAACCCTTGTTCACAGGAGTGAGTGGCTGGCTCTCAAAAGCAAACAGGGTGAGAGGTGCAAGATCCGATGGTAGCACAAATGCCTAAGGGAAGGTCCCCAAAGTCAACCTGGGTGACTTTGGGTAAGTTCTTAGTTCTTTTAACTGTGTGTGTGCGTGTGCGTGTGTGTGTGCGCGTACACACACCATGGGCCTCAGATGCATAAAATTGGGTTCATCTTAAATTTTGGTTCATGATATACTAATACCATTGGTTTGCACATGGCCTTCTACTTTTTTTCTTTATTGATTTCAGTGAGAGGAAGAGAGAGGGACAGAGAGATAGAAACAGCTATGAGAGAGAACACCGGTTGGCCGCCTCCTGCACTCCCCCCACTGTTGGTCCACAACCTGGGCATGTGCCCTGACCGGGAATCAAACTGGAGACCTCTTGGTGCATGGGTCGATGCTCAACCACTGAGCCACACTGGCTAGGCATGGCCTTCTATTTTTTTTTTATTCTCACAACATGATACCCGTGAACCAAACCCAAGAATTACAATATTAATAACTCACATGTACTACGTCCTCTTCTGTCCTGTTCCCCTTCCAGAAGAAGAGAATGTAATCCTTTTCCAAGGATTAAGATACGAGTTCAGCTAACACTATCCTATTAACTGTGTGGTCTGCCAGAACGCGCATCGCGCGACCACAGTTCATCCACGTTCCTGCAGAGCTGTGGCTCACCCATTCCCACCCCCACATGCCATTGTGTGAAAAAACATGGGACACGGTTTCCACACCTACGAAATAATCAACATAATGTTTTCTGAGGTCCCTTCCAGATGAGACTCTAGAAGTCTCTGAGTTATCTTAACTCAGGAGTTTGCTTGAGAGGAAGTGGGAAGAATTATACGAGGTCCCTCTCCTACATCTCTCCTCTCCACAGGGTTTTGAAGGCCCCACCTGCAGCCACAGAGCCCCCTCCTGCGGCCTCCATCACTGCCACCACGGTGGTCTGTGTCTGCCCTCCCTGAAGTCTGGCTTCCCACCTCGCTGTGCCTGCCTCGGTGGCTATGGGGGCCCTGACTGCCTGACGCCACCCAGTCCTCCAGGCTGTGGCCCTCCTTCTCCTTGCCTACACAATGGCAGCTGCTCAGAGACCTCCAAGCTGTGGGGCCCAAGCTTTCGATGCTCCTGCCCTCCCAGCTCCCCAGGGCCCCGGTGCCAGAAGCCTAGAGCCAAGGAATGTGAGGGCAGAGGTGGAGATGGAGCCTGTGATGCTGGCTGCAGTGGGCCAGGAGGAAACTGGGATGGGGGGGACTGCTCCCTGGGAGTCCTGGACCCCTGGAAGGGCTGCCCCTCCCACTTCCACTGCTGGCTTCTCTTCCGGGATGGGCAGTGCCACCCGCAGTGTGACTCTGAAGAATGTTTGTTTGATGGCTTTGACTGTGAGGCTCCTCCAGCCTGCAAGTGAGCCTGAGACCCTGAGTTGGTGGGGGGGGGGGGGGGGGGCAAGGGGACACAATGAGGGCAGAAGGGACATGGATACTTCTGAGTTACAGTGTTACTACAGCCTCAAGCTCCAGGGAGTTTCCGCCCTCATAACCATTGCTAAGTGGGAGTAGAAGACCCTAGACTCCAGCCCAGCTGGATAGGGCAGCATCAGGTTAATGGGGCACCAAGAACAGGCACTGCCTCTGCCCAGACTCCTCGCTGAGAGTTAAGAGCTCTGCCTCAAGTCTCTCTCTAAGCCCTGTTGCCATGGAGTATCTCCCCTAGCAACCTGCACCCCTAATGGAAAAGAGCCTCAGGCACTGCTTCAGGAAGACAGGAGAGCTTGGAGTGGTAGGGAGAAGGGGCCATCTTAGGAAACAAGGGTGTCAGTAGACATTAGGGTGTCTGGGCTACCTAGCATCCAGGGTCCAACTTGGCCCTTTTCTCTGGAGCTAAGCTAGTAAGTGCCCTAGAGGATGTGGAATGTCAGGAACCTCTCTGGGATGGAGGAAGGAGTCTAGTTCTTTGGGGTCCTGAGTTCCCCTCTCCTCACCCACAGCCCAGCCTATGACCAGTTCTGCAAGGATCACTTCCACAATGGGCACTGTGAGAACGGCTGCAACACTGCGGAATGTGGCTGGGATGGAGGTGACTGCAGGCCTGCAGATGGGGACTCAGCCTGGGGGCCTTCCCTGGCCCTGCTGGTGGTGCTCAGCCCCCCCGCCCTGGACCAGCAGCTGCTTGCCCTGGCCCGGGTACTGTCCCTCACTCTGAGGGTGGGGCTCTGGGTGAGGAAGGATAGTGATGGCAGGGACATGGTGTACCCCTATCCTGGGGCCCAGGCTGAAGAAGAGCTAGGAAGAATCCCAGACCCCTCTCATCAGGATACAGCAGCCCCTCAAACACAGCCTGTGGGCAAAGAGACAGACTCCTTCAGCACAGGGTAAGAAGGCTGGGCAAAGTGGGGGACCAGGCACTTTTTTAATGGGTGCAGGGAAGGGAGCCAGGAACCAACACAGGGGTCTCTGAGATGTCTCCCCTGCAGGTTTGTGGTGGTGATGGGTGTGGATTTGTCCCGCTGTGGCCCTGACCACTCTGCGTCCCGCTGTCCCTGGGACGTTGGGGTCCTGCTCCGCTTCCTTGCTGCCATGGCTGCAGTGGAGGCCCTGGAGCCCCTACTGCCGGGACCCCTGCTGGCTGCCCACCCTCGTGCAGGCACCGGTAGGTGACCCCAGCATTTCCCCTGACTTTGCTCCCAGGTCGGCTTTCATGCCAGCAGCCAGCAATGGAGGTCAAATGAAACAGGACCAATGGGACCCAAGTGCTCTTTGTGGGGCTTACCCTTATTAACCTCTTTCTCTAACTGGATCTCCCCACGGCCCATTTGCTCTACAATCTCCTTCCTTCTTTTCCTAAGGACTTTGTCCTAACCTCTATCACAGACCTCCCACAAACCTCGGAGTTTGGTCCATCCTTTCTACTAGATGGAGGGTGTCCAGTCATTCCTGTATCCAATAGTTCAGAGCTCATGGAAGAGTAAGAACTCTCACATCACACCCACTATGTGCCAGGCCATGCTCTAAGCATTTCTATCCTTACTAGCTCCTTTTATCCTCCCAAAAATACCATTGAGGCAGGTGCTATTGTTATTCCCATTTACAGATGAGGGAACTGAGGCCCAAAGGTCTCACAATAGCACCCGGCCTCACCTGGAATAGCCTCTTTTTGACTGTCTCTCCCACCAGTGCCCTCAGCCAACCAGCTTCCCTGGCCTGTGTTGTGCTCGCCGGTGGCTGGGGTGCTTCTCCTGGCCCTCGGGGCCCTTCTTGTCCTCCAGCTCATTCGGAGGCGGCGCCGAGAGCATGGGGCCCTCTGGCTTCCCCCTGGGTTCACTCGAAAGCCTCGGACTCAGCCAACTCCCCGCCGACGCCGGCCCCCACTGGGCGAGGACAGCATCCACCTCAAGTGAGAGTGCGGAGGAACTGGGGCTCAGGGAGGGGCCTCTTGCCTGTGAAGATATCTATGACTGGATGCAGCAAGAGCTGCCACTGCGGAAGTTAAAGACAGAGGAAGGGGAAAAGGGCTGGAGGGCTGCCGGAAATCTAGTGGACCCTGAAGGTCCTCTACCCGCCCACCTTCTTCCAGGGCACTGAAACCAGAGGCTGAAGTGGATGAGGATGGAGTTGTGATGTGCTCAGGCCCTGAGGAAGGAGAGGAGGTAGGCCAGGTGAAAACACTGAGGCAGGAATGGCCCTGAGGTGATGAAAGGGTTGAAGGAACAAGTCAACCTTCCTTCACTGAATGTCTTTCTGATCCCAAGGCTGAAGAAATGGCCTCAGCCTCCAAGTGCCAGCTCTGGTCTCTGAGTGGTGACTGTCGGGAGCTCCCCCAGGCAGCCATGCTGACTCCTCCGCAGGACAATGAGATGGATGTCCCCGATGTGGACACTCATGGACCTGGTACATGAGCCAACCCAGACCAAGACAAACCCCTTTGACCCTCAGAATCAGAAAAATCCTTTCATATCAGCCCGGGAGAAGCAAATGTTAGAGTTAGTACTTAGAACAGTGATTCTCAAAGTATGGTTCTGGGACAGGAGAATGTGTTTCACCAGGGAAATTGTTAGAAATACAAATTCTCAGGCTCCACTCCAGAGCTCCTGATTCAGATATTCAAGCTATTGTGAAATTTGTTTGCACAAGCCCTCCAGGTGAGTAATACAGACTCAGGTCTGAGAACCACTGCCCTAGAATGTTAGAGAATAAGCTTAGCCTGCTGGCCCCCTGTACAGATGAGGAAACCGAAGCCCGGAGAAAAGTAGAAGTCACTTGCCTTAAAGCCACACAATCAAGAGCCAGAGCTGGGCTTCCTGACACCTGAGGATTGTGATTCTTCGAGCCTCCATGTTCTCCCCCTGCCCTTATGTCCTTTTGATTGACCACAGATGGAGTGACACCCCTGATGTCAGCAGTCTGCTGTGGAGGAGTGGAGTCCAGGACCTTCCCGAGGGCATGGCTGGAAAGCTCTGAGCCCTGGGAACCTCTGTTAGATGGAGGGGCCTGTCCCCAGGCTCACACTGTGGGCACTGGGGAGACCCCTCTGCACCTGGCTGCCCGATTCTCCCGGGCAACTGCTGCCCGCCGCCTCCTTGAGGCTGGAGCCAACCCCAACCAGCCAGACAGAGCAGGGCGCACCCCTCTTCACACTGCAGTGGCTGCTGATGCTCGGGAGGTCTGCCAGGTCAGTGCACACTGGGGTCACTGGAAAGGACTGGGAGCAAGTCTGGAAGTAAAGCTAGGCAAAAGCATACATACTCTAGGGTTTGGCAAAGAGGAAGATGATGTGCGATTGGGACCTGAAAGGGAAACAAGAACAGACAGCCGAATATGGATTGGGAGGTGGTTAATAGTGTGAAGGGCCTGAGCTAGCAGCCCAGGACAAACCAGGGGTCACTGGTCCTCTCTGGCCCCCCAGCTCCTACTCCGCAGCAGACAGACTGCAGTGGATGCCAGAACAGAGGATGGGACCACGGCCCTGATGCTGGCTGCCAAGCTGGCAGTGGAGGACCTGGTTGAAGAACTCATTGCAGCCCAGGCGGATGTGGGGGCCAGAGATAAGTGGGGTATGAATCTGGGGAGGTTGGTGTGCTATAGAGAAGTTGAGCAGATGGGATATGCGATAAAATGCAAAAAGGAGCAGAGGGGCCACTGGAGGCTGGGAGAGTCCCTTCCACCTTGCTGTCAGAGTGGTAGATCTCCGTGCGCTGACAGGATGGAGCATGTGTCTTCCCCCATCATCCTCAACAACACACACTGCCTTGGTCCAGTGTAAGCTAGGGTGTGGAGGAGTGTCGGTGAGAAGGTGCAGGGGTCTCCCGGTCCCACCGACCCCAGAACAATGCCCTATTGTCCCTTCCGCGCGCCGGTGACGTCACCAGGGACAATGCTTCCCGCCCGCCGGCGGTCACCCGGGCAACGCTTTTGCCTTTGAGGGGCGTGGACCCGACGGGCCAAATAGCCCTTCCCCCAAGGCCAGGATCCAGGGGAAGCGAGAACCCAGGCGCCTGGCCCCCAGCCTCAGGTGACAACCTCCCACGTCGTTCCCCAGGAAAAACTGCTCTGCACTGGGCCGCCGCCGTGAACAATGCCCGGGCCGCCCGTTCCCTTCTCCAGGCCGGAGCCGATAAAGACGCCCAGGATGGCAGGGTTAGACCGGGTGGAGGGCTCCCCACAAAATAAAGGGTGCGGGAGAGGTGGAAAGCGCGGAAACTCCCCCAAACCAGAAGGGGGAGGGACCGGCAGTCTAGGGCAAGTCCTGTGAGTGGCCTTCCTGACCTCGCCCCTGGCGGTTTCCTCCCACGCAGGAGCAGACCCCACTGTTCCTGGCTGCCCGAGAGGGGGCGATGGAGGTAGCCCAGCTGCTGCTGGGGCTGGGGGCGGCTCGCGGGCTGCGAGACCAGGCCGGACTGGCGCCCGCGGACATCGCCCGTCAGCGCAACCACTGGGATCTGCTGATGCTGCTTGAGGGGGCGGGGCCAGCGGAGCCGCGTCCCAAAGCCACGCCGGGCCGAGGGGCGGGCGTCTTCGCGCGTGCGCGGACCGCCTCGGGGAGCGTGCCGCCGTGCGGGGGCGGGGCTCTGCCGCGCAGCCGGACGCTGTCAGTGGGAGCAGCCCCGCGTGGGGGCGGAGCAGGTCTGCAAACACGGACTTCGTCCGTAGACTTGGCCTCGCGTGGAGGCGGGGTCTATTCTCAGTGCCGAAGCCTCCCGAAGGGAGCCGGAGGTGGCCCGCCCCGCCGCGGCCGAAGCTTTTCTGCCGACATGCGTGGGCCGAGGTCCAACCGTGCAATAGTGCAAGGAAGATCCGGGGTCGCAGCCGGGAGCGGGGGCGTGGCCTCAGCTGACTGGCCCTGTGATTGGGTGTCCCTGGGAGCCTGCGGTCCCGCCTCCAGCACTCGGATCCCGCCTCCTTGCCTTACTCCGTCCCCAGAGCGGAGATCGCCTCAAGTCGCTTGGGGTCCCCCAGCCCACCAAGTAATACCCTTAAATGCAGTAAGCGAAGGTCAAAAGTAGAAGGCTGATGGGAGGGTGGGATTCTTAAAGCGAGTACCCATTAAATGACAGTTTGGGAGTCCTCCGGATTTTAAACTTCTCGAACCCCAAAAGTAGGAGATCGGGAATATAGCGTCTCTCCCAAAAAGAGTTTATGCCCACTCACAACCGTTATCGTCTTCCACGCGGAGAAGATGCAACTCTGGAGAGGGTTTAGGTGCTGGGATGAAGTGGGCCCAGCCCCTCCCAGAAAGTAAGGGTGAGGGGCTACAGGAGGGTGGTGTGGATTGAGCTAAGTACCCTGGACTGGAACTAAAAATAGGATGTAAGAGGTTCTTTCCTGTAAAGTATATGGTTCCCAAGGGGAACCTTTGTATCACCTCCCCCCCTACCTACAAACGGTTGACAAATATTTATTTAACCACCTTCTATGTGCCAGGCACTGTCGGTGCTGGGTGGGGGTTGCGCCAAGGGCCACTCCAGCTGATGACTCCTTGCATTCTCACCACCCCCAAACAAACCACTGCAGGGATGAAGCACCATTCTTCTAGCTACTGCTATCTCTATTTAAGAACCCCAAATCTGTCACCAGCTAAGAGAGCTGATAGAGTGTTGCCTTCTTTTGGAGGGTTTGGGGAATGCAATGGAAAAAATATGGGAGTGACTGCGTTGTCTTCAAAATTTTGTGTCGATTTGGATAGAGACTTTCCGTATAGTTTAAGAGCAAGAATAAGATTTGAGAGTCCTATGTTAATTTAGGGAATCATCTGAAAGCAAGTCTAGTAGCCCAAGGAGAAGCCACACACTGTCTTCTAAGGACATCTCAGAGCCTAAGTCTCTCGAAAGGAGCCGGAGGTGGCCTGCCCCACCGTGGCGGAAGCCACTTAAGAGACTCCCAAGGGCTCAAGTTAGGTAGAGGAGGAGGGAGACACCATCTCAAACTCAGTCCACCTTTCAGCTACAACTCTTTCGTGGTGATGATGTGCCTGAGACCAGGGATGAGGCATTTTGAAAGCTAAGGGGGCATACCTCATTTTATTGTGCTTCACTTTGTTGCGCTTTGCAGATAAATGTTTTTCATTAACATTGAAGCAAAGACCCTCTACCAACAAAAAAATTATGACTCACTGGTTAGCATTTCTTAGCAATAAAGTATCTTTTAAAGTACTTTCATTGTTTTTAAGACAATGCTATTTCTCACTTAATAGACTACAGTATGGTTGTAAACATGCACTGGGAAACCAAAACATCTGTGACTCACTTTATTTTGATAATCACTTTATTGTGGTGGTCTGGACCCAAACCCACAATATTTCTGAAGTATGCCTTTTAATAAGTACCATTTATTGAGCATTCACTATACCAAATGCTTTATCACATTTAATCCTCACATCAACTGTTAGGTCTACTAAAATTATTAGGTCTGTTTTACTTTTAGAAGGTTAGGTACAGATTTTATTTGGACAAGACTGCAAGGCATTAAGTGGCAGAAACAGAGGTCTTCATCACATTTCCTGTTTGAAGTTGCTCAGCTGTAAACCCCCGTACTATGACAGGTTTCCATTTAGAGGTCCCAGCCAGCCTGATCAGCACAGATGGATCCAAGACTAAACCAGGGAGTTAGTCCTCTCCCTTTTTTGTTTCTATATCCCTCATTCATGACCAGAGGAAAGTTTTCCCTGACCCATGCCTCACATTTGGCGCATATCCTGTCCACTAAGTAGACCAAGCACCTAGAAGGCCAGGATAACTACCCAATATATTTATTGAACACTCACTGTGTGTGACCCAGTGCTAGGAGTATATGTATATGTTTAAGAGCCTGACATCCCTGGATCTGAGTCCTTTCCTCTGGAACCATGCCTGTCCCAGTCCCAATTAGGCTGGGAAGCAGGGGAGGGAAGATTCCTAAGTCTGGGTACATCTTAGGGAGAGAAGAGACCTGGGGGTGAGGGTTCTGAGGAGTGAAACCACTTCCTGTGCAGCTAGTTCCGGTGTTGACAGAGCTGAAGAGGAGGAGGGGATGGAGGGAACAGAGTGGCGGGGCTTGGGGGCTACTGAGGCTCTGGAGATGAGAAGGCCAAGAGTTCTTGCCCACCTTGAAACCCTTCCACTGCTGCGGAGGAGCTTTTCCCAGTCTCTGTGCTCCCCTGGGGAGAGAAGTGGAGCCAGCAGTTTGGGTGGGAAAAGAAAACTGGAGGAAGTTGACAGGGATGGGCGGGGCCCGTGGGGGGGCTGACCAGGAACCCAGCTTCCTGCTTAGTACCCAGACATCCAGCCCCCGGCTCACCCCCACCCCTTCCAGCCCCCACTCCCCTCAGGAACTCAGGGTTCCTGCCCTCCTCCAAATCTTAGTTACCCCTCCCCCCATCGGTTTCTCCCCTCCAGGGCATGGAGGCTGAGAGACCCCAGGAAGAAGAGGATGGTGAGCAGGTGAGCTGGCAGCGGAGGGGGAGGCTGACCCTGGGAGAAAGGGAGGTGAGAGGACTCGAGGCAGAGACCTAGTGACGGTAGTAGACTCAGGGACTTGGAAGGGCTTGGGCACACTGGGGGAGGAACAGAGACACAGAGAGAGGAAATGGGCTGCTGGCCTAGCCCCTGCCCACCGGGCCCCTGCTTGACTGGAATGGATGTCTTGGCATCAGGGCCCCCATCGGGATGGGCATGGCTGGCCCCCTGTAAACACCACCACTCGGCCTTGGCGATCTGCTCCTCCATCCCCTCCTCCAGGGACCCGCCACACAGGTACCACCCACCCAGGGAGCTCCCTGACCCTGGTGCCCACATCCTTCCTGATCCTCTTACCAGGGTCCACTCCATCATGGGTCCTTTCCCCACCTCCTTTGGACTCCCCATTGCACCTCCTTACCTCTGACCACCAGTCCCTAAGCACCTCACCTTGTCTGTCCTTGTCCCTGTCCCAGTCCCCCCACTCTACCAACTTCTCTGAGCCTTCCCTCTCCTCCCCCAGCCCTGGGACCCCGCTCGGCCTCCCTGCTCTCCCTGCAGACTGAGCTCCTTCTGGACCTGGTGGCTGAGGCCCAGTCCCGCCGCCTAGAGGAGCAGAGGGCCACCTTCCACAACCCCCAGAACTCCCCAAGCCTAGCCCCAGCCCCACCCCGGCCTCAGGAGGACAGAGAACAGCTCTATAGCACCATCCTCAGTCACCAGGTAAGACACCCCCCACCCTGCCCCTGAGGCAAGACCCAGGTCTCCTGATCTCTTGGCCTTGTTATTTTGGGAGTCCCTACCCCTCCTCCCCAGGCCCTAGTCTCCCATCCCCATCACAGGTGTCCTATATGCCCCTCACACCAGCCCTGGCTCTTTCAAGGCCTGCTCCTCGTAGAATCTCACCCACACCCTGCCATCCCTCCATTCCACCAGTGCCAGCGGATGGAAGCCCAGCGGTCCGAGCCTCCCCTACCCCCAGGGGGGCAGGAGCTCCTGGAGTTGCTGCTGAGAGTTCAGGGTGGGGGTCGAATGGAGGAACAAAGATCCAGGCCCCCCGCACACACCTGCTGAGACTTGAGCCCCCTACCAGCCCCTCTGCGCTCCTGAGGCTCAAGCTGGGCAGCCCACTGCATACCCTCAACCCTGCTTGGCAGGGGCACCAGAGACTGGACCCAGCAAATATCTCAGTATTCATCGCCCTCATTCTTGTTCCCTGAGAACTGGAGTGGGTGGAAGTCCTCAAATCCTGGGACTAGTCAAGGTAGGATGGTCATGGTCATTTAGTCCCTCCGAGTACCTACATGGCAATTTGAAGCAGTGAAAGGATCCAAGCGACCAAGGGACGCCCCGTCCCTCCTCTGATCTCAGGGAGTAGCTTGGAGTCTTGGTCCTGAGCTGTGGGCACACCCAGAGGTCAAGTCACTAGGCAGGATCTGAGGGCTCAGGCCTCCAACTCCCAAGAAAAGGCAAGTCTCCTAAGGTTATGACCTGAGGGACAGTTCCACCCTCCTTCCCAATAAGAAGAAAGAAGGGTGGGCACAGCACAGATAGACTATCCTCCCACCACACCACCAGCCCCTCTCAGCCCAGGACTAGGGGGCCTACCGGCTGTGAATGGACACTTAGCCCTGCCCACCGTCCCTCTCCACTGCTGCTCTGCGTGTCTGATGTTCTGGTTGTATGAATAAATGTAATTCCCCTCTGGAATGAAGACTGGTGTCTGGGGCTGCGGGCGGAGGGTAGGGCAGCGAGGGCAGAGGCTGCCTCTCTCCCCAGCCTGGCCCGAGGCCAGCTCCCCTCCCTGGCTGGTTAATTACTGTCTCATTAAGCAGCGGCTGGAGACCTCCCTAATTACCCCCCCCCGCCCCCTCTCCTGGTTTTAATTAAGTAGAACAGGGAGGGGAGTCATTAGGACGAGAAATGTGAAGTGAGCTGGTGTGAACCCAGGCATTCCAGCGGCCACAGCCCACAGCGCCCAGACCCCTGATCAGAAGCCGGCGGCCGCCGCCCGCCCAGCCGTCCCGGCGCCGGGGTCCGGCCCGGGCTCCCCGCGGCTCCCCGCGGGCCCGTCTCCTCCCGGCCCCTCCCCGCGTCTCAGTTCCGCGGCCTCCGCGCGTCTCTCCGCCTCCAGCTCCTCCCTCCTCTCCGCGCGTCTCCCCTCCTCTTCCTCCCGGCTCCCCTCCCCCAGCCTCCCTCCCGCTCCCCCTTCTCCCTCCTCCCTCCTCCCTCTCTCTCACACACACCCCCGCCTGGGCCTCCTCTCTCTCTCCGGCTCCATTTTCTCCGCCACCGGGGGCCGGGGTCTCCTGTGGGGGGCCCAGCCGGTACCCCAGGTCTCCCTTCAGGGCCGGGGTGAACCCCCGGGGGAGCCGGGAGGCGGGGAGACGGGCGGGGGTTGGGGCGGAGGGAGCAGCGGCCCCAGCGAGTTTGGGGGGGAAGTAACAAGGCGGGGGGAGGGGCGGAGCAGGGAGGGGGCCTCAGGGCCCCCCCCCCAACTATGGACGAGCGGCTGCTGGGGCCGCCCCCTCCAGGCGGGGGCAGGGGGGGCCTGGGATTGGTGGGTGGGGAGCCTGGGGGCCCTGGCGAGCCTCCCGGTGGTGGAGACCCCGGTGGGGGTAACGGGGGGGTCCCGGGAGGCCGAGGGAAGCAAGACATCGGGGACATTCTGCAGCAGATAATGACCATCACGGACCAGAGCCTGGATGAGGCCCAGGCCAAGTGAGTGCCCCCACCCCGGGACCCCACACAGACCCAGCAGAAGCCCCATTCACAAGATCTGAGTCTTCTGGGACGCCCCCCCCCCAACTTCAGGACCCTCTCCAGGATCCTACAGCTCAGCTCTCTTCTCTCCTTACTCCTGGGAACCCCGAGATAAGTGACCCCTCTCAAACCTTCCTTCACCCCCAGACCCTGAAACCTTAAAGAGGGGGAACCGCAGGTGGTCTTCTCCCCTTCTCCTAACCTCTCACTGACCCCCACACTCCCCAGGAACATCCTGCCATCTCCATAGCCCCCTTCTGGCTCCTCCCCTAACTCTCCACCGGCCCACCCCCTCCCTTGCGGACCTGAGGACCTCCACACCCCTCCCCAGAGTTCTACCACCCCTCTGCCATGGCCCAGCCTCCCAGGGTCCTCACCTGCCCTTCCCCCCTGCTCAATTCCAGGACCGTCCCTTTCACACACATCTCTACTGATCCCCCGACTTTAGCTTGGCACCCCTAACCCCTCTTTGGCACCTCAAACTCTGACTTTTCTCCCCATTCTCTATCTTTCTTCTTCCAAAATCTACCTAGTCATCCTGGTGTCTGCAGTCACCCCAGACTCCCTCTCTGCACCCTTCTAGACCATCTCCCACAGCCCCCAGCCTACCCACAGTGCCTTTAGGCTGCTGCCTCTCCCTTCTCTTCCCTCTGGCTGGAAGCCTAGCAGCTTCCCTATATCTCCATTCCAACCCAGCCCCACTTCCGGCCTTCCTTCTTGTTCCCAGGCTCCCTTCTCTCACCCTCATGGTCTCCCCCTGCCTGTTTCTGTAGCTAAACTTTTCTCTTCCTCCTCCCAAGGAAACACGCCCTAAACTGCCACCGAATGAAGCCTGCCCTCTTTAGTGTCCTGTGTGAAATCAAAGAGAAAACCGGTATGTGGGTGCCCCTGATACCTGAACTCATGGGATGGAACCCTGTTCACTATGCACTCGGGCCAAGAGGTTGACAATTTGGGACCCTGAGGAGAGTGGGTGTCCGGGAGGATGCCAGGGGGAACTAGGGAGGGAACCAAAGAAACGTGGGTCTCCAGGAGGCGTCCAGAGGGCTGAGAACTGGGTGTGGGGGTCCCCGGGTTCCTAAGTCCACTTGCCGACTTAGGCCTCAGCATTCGAAGCTCCCAGGAGGAGGAGCCTGTGGACCCCCAGCTGATGCGCTTGGACAACATGCTTCTGGCAGAAGGTGTGGCTGGGCCTGAGAAAGGGGGGGGCTCAGCCGCAGCAGCTGCAGCCGCTGCAGCTTCCGGGGGCGGTGTGTCCCCTGACAACTCCATCGAACACTCGGACTATCGCAGCAAACTTGCCCAGATTCGCCACATCTACCACTCGGAGCTGGAGAAGTACGAGCAGGTGAGGAGAGCAGGCTGCAGTGGGTGGGGGCAGATTCCTTGGGGGGAATCCCAAGGCCCAAGGGCTCCTCTTCACAGCCCACTGGCCCCTACTGCAGGCATGTAATGAATTCACAACCCACGTCATGAACCTGCTGAGGGAGCAGAGCCGCACGCGGCCTGTGGCGCCCAAGGAGATGGAGCGGATGGTGAGCATCATCCACCGGAAGTTCAGCGCCATCCAGATGCAGCTCAAGCAGAGCACCTGCGAGGCCGTCATGATTCTGCGCTCCCGCTTCCTGGATGCCAGGTGCGCTGGGCTCAGGTCACCCCCCTGGGCTGCTTCCCATTCTCCAACAGGAGACCCCTGCCACTGGGGCGCCCTCTGGAGCTGGGCAGCACGGATACCCCGCCCGCACAGCAGTGTCATCACCCTTCTCCCCTGTAGACGAAAACGCCGAAACTTCAGCAAACAGGCCACTGAGGTCCTCAATGAGTATTTCTATTCCCACCTGAGTAACCCGTATCCTAGTGAGGAGGCTAAGGAGGAACTGGCCAAGAAGTGTGGAATCACTGTCTCGCAGGTATTAGGAGCTTCCTTTCGAAAAGCTCTCTGATCCTTTTGACTGAGGCTCATAGAGGGAAAGGTTTCCAACTGACCCTCCTTTCTGCCCAACACCCCACAGGTCTCCAACTGGTTTGGCAACAAGCGAATTCGCTATAAGAAAAATATTGGAAAGTTCCAAGAAGAGGCAAACATCTATGCCGTCAAGACCGCCGTGTCAGTCACCCAGGGGGGCCACAGCCGTACCAGCTCCCCGACACCCCCTTCCTCCGCAGGTGGAGCCCTCTGCCACCCTGGCTGGATGTGTTGCACACTTCCTGCCTTTGTTCCCACTTCCCATCTAGGCAGGATCATAGAGTGGGGGCTTTTGGGATGAGACCAAGCTGAGATGGGGTGGGGATGTCAGGGGCAGAGGCCACTCCAGCCAACTTACAGTCTTGCCTTTCTTCCAGCAAGTGGCCAGGGGAGGCTCACAAACAACCTAGTCCTCAGTGTTGCAATGTGGATCCTTTGTGCACAGTAGCACACCCGCACAGCTAGTTCAGAGGGCTTTTTGGAAACAATTGTGTGTCTCCTGTCTGCTGGCACAGGCTGTTTTCATACACTTCCCTAATTCCTTGTCTGCTCCCCCAAGGCTCTGGCGGCTCTTTCAATCTCTCAGGATCCGGAGACATGTTTCTGGGGATGCCCGGGCTCAACGGAGATTCCTACTCTGCTTCCCAGGTCAGGTGGCCCATCTCCCCTTGAGTAGAGTTTGCCCAAACCTGGTTTCCCTCCCTCCAGGATACCAGATGTTTTTCTTTTAAGGTGTCTTATGGTGTCATACCTTCCTTTGCTGCCCATAGGTGGAATCACTCCGACACTCGATGGGGCCAGGGGGCTACGGGGATAACCTCGGGGGGGGCCAGATGTACGGCCCTCGAGAATCGAGGGTGAGTGGACCCCTGCAGCCCCTCTCCGCCGCACCGGGACAGGAGGGCCCTTTCCCTGGCAGTGTTATCTCCCACACTAGGTTTCAGAGCCCTGCCCCAGCTGTCTCTGTCTTTTCGCAGGCAAACGGTGGCTGGCAGGAGGCTGTGACCCCATCCTCAGTGACATCCCCAACAGAGGGACCAGGGAGCGTTCATTCTGACACTTCCAACTGATCTCACCCCTCAGGGCCACAGGGGTGGGGGCTCTCGAGGTGACTCTTGAAGAGGACAAAGGCATCCAGAGGACAAACCCCAGACACAGGAGAAGCACAAGACAGAGAAGGGCAAATGGGGTCATCCCTCCCCCAGCAGACTCAGTGCTGGGGTTGCTGACTACATGGCAAAGAGAATGGGGTCCCCTAAGGGGAAAGTGGGGTCTGTCTCCCCCTTTTTTCCTTTCAGTCTTTTTCTCCCCCTTTCTTACACAAAAACACACACCCAGATCCTATTTTTCATATCCTTTTCTCTCTCTCATATACATATACAACTATTCTGTTTCTCTCTCTCTCTCTCTCTCTCTCTCTCTCTCTCTCTGGTTTCACCGACTCTCCCTCCCCCACCCGTTATCTGCTCTGGGATCTATGGAGACGCCAGCTTTGCCCTATCAATCAGAGATGCCAAAAATGGGGACACAACTTCTGGACAGATGACCTGGGCCACACTCCCGTGCCTCCTGCCCCCTGCCCCTCCAGACGGCTTTATTACCTCATATGCAGCTCATCTTGAACCAATAGAATCGCTCGGTGGACGAGAGTGTCTGACTCAGATATCTACCTCGGAGGGAGTTTCTGCTACTTTAGGGAATTGTTGGCTGGGTTTTGGGGTTGAACTTTTTTTTTAGGAAAGAAAAAGAAACCCTGGGATCCCCCTGTATTCTTTGTTTTGTTGTTGGTTTTTAATTTTCAATTTAGTTTGGGGAAGTAGATGATTTTACATGTTGATTTCCTTTTTGGCTTAATTTTTTGCTTTTCATATTAGGGGTGATAGCCAAAGGGGTCATGATAAGAGAAAGGGGAACAAATAGAACTGGTGAAGAGTCCAGCTGGCTCCAGTCCTGTCCATCAGGAAGTACATTTAGCAGGGCACCACGCCTGCTCCCTAAAATCACTTAGGTATTCTCCTTGACTTATAAAATCCCAGGTGTTCTTTGCTTGTTCAGGCAGCTCCGTTGGGGGCTCACTGGCTGGCCTCCTCCCTCTTCCCACAACCCTTTGACAGGGCCAGACACAGTCATTTTGAGGAAATGCCACCTTCCCCTGTGACATGTCTTCAAGTCTTTCTTTTTTTTTAATTATTTGCAGGTTGGAGGGGAAGAATGGGGAGGGGGCCATTGCAAAATAAATATGGGTTGGGGTGCTTGTGTATGTATCTCCTTAAATTTCCCCAGAAATAAGTTTTTTCTTAGGTCCAAAATCATGAGGGTAGGGAGAGGAGGGAGGTTGCAAAGCCAGGTATGGGGAGAAGTAAAATCACCGCTGCCCCTTCCTTGGCCCTGAACCCCTTAAACATCAGGATTTCACAGACTGTCCCTCGGGGGAATCCCTCCAGTCAAAGGCCCAGGCAGGACTGAAGGCAGGTTGGGATTGTGATGGGTGGGGGGGCGGGAGGACGGGTGCGGGCAGTTCTCTCCTCACTTGTAAACTTGTAGTTTCACAGAAAAGAAAAAGCAGTTTTAAATAAAGAAATTTCTTTTTCCCCTGGGTTTAGTTGAGAATTATTTTCAAAAACAAGACATCCCAGGAAAAAAATACTTTTCATAAAACCCCAAAAGGGTTTCGCCTGAGTCCCCAGCCTTGTCCTTACCACCCAGGCCCCATGTCCCAGCCTTGCCTCTTTTCCATGGGAAACAGCATGGCCTGAACCCTGTTGCCTGGCAACCTTGCTCCAGTGGTCCACCTGGTAGCCCTCAGCAGACTGATGGTACAGGTTGGGGGGTCCTAAGGACATGACAGACCCTAGGAGATGCATTCCCAACCCCCATGGATGTGGCAGTGCCCAGGGGTGGGGTGATTATTGTTTCTCCTAGTATCTGAAGGACTCTTACCCGAAGAGTCATGAATTCCTAGCATTCCCTGTGCCAGGACAGGACGGGGAGATGGGGGCAGGGGAGAGGGTACAAGCCCCACCTAGGGCAGTGGCCACAGCAGTGAGAGGCAGACAGAGCCAGGAGCCTGGACAGGAGGCAGGATGGAAGCAGGGGCAATGGCTGGAGCCTGGGTGCTGGTCCTCAGTCTGTGGGGTGAGCCACTACCCACCCCCACCCCCTCCCACCTGTGGAAGGCACTCGGCCCTCTCCCGATTTCCCCAGAACTTTCCTGGAACCTGGGCACTTCTCTTCCCGTTCCTTGCCCACCCTGTGCTAGTTTTATCAGCCCCATATCCCTCCCGGCCCCTCCACCTTGGTGCTATCTCCCAGGAACAGCGGTAGGCTGTCAAAACCTCACAGCTCAGATCGGGAAGCCACTGGTGCTGAACTGTAAGGGTGCTCCCAGGAAACCACCCCAGCAGCTGGAATGGAAACTGGTAAGTGAAGCTCCTGCCGTGGCCTCCCTCCGCCCTGCCTCAGGAGTCCTTTCCCAGAGGACTGGCTGTTTAGGCCCCTCTCCTTGGTCCCCAGAACACAGGCCGAACAGAAGCCTGGAAGGTCCTGTCTCCCCAGGGAGACCCCTGGGGCAGTGTGGCTCGCGTCCTCCCCAACGGCTCCCTCCTCCTGCCGGCCATCGGGATCCCAGACGAGGGGACTTTCCGGTGCCGGGCAAGGAGCCGGAAAGGAAAGGAGATCGGATCCACCTACCGAGTCCGAGTCTACCGTAAGGGTGCCAGGGCCTTCCCCACGGCCGCCTCTCTTCAAGGAAACGCCCTCAGCCCCAGGCCTCCATTCCCTGGCCTTGGTGTGCAGGCCTCTGACTTAAGCTCCCCCATTCCCACACTGGGAGTGAAAATCTTCAAAGCCCCAGCTTTTGATTGGAATTTTCCCTCCTTCAGAGATTCCTGGAAAGCCAGAAATTGTTGATCCTGCCTCTGAACTCAAGGCTGGTGTCCCCAATAAGGTACTGGAAGAAAAGGGGAGTAGGAAGTGGTTCTGAACACGGGAGGGGTATAGCTGGGTACATGCACATGATGTCTCTTATTTTCAAAGATGATGAGGTCACTCTTTCCCCAGGTGGGGACATGTGTGTCTGAGGGGGGCTACCCTGCAGGGACTCTTAGCTGGCACTTAGACGGGAAACCCCTGATACCTGATGGCAAAGGTGAGTCCCACAGTTCCCACTCCTAGCTGCCTGTTTTCTGACCCCTCCCCCACACACCCTGGGATATCTTGCTTCTCCTTCCTCCACCATAGGAGTGTCTGTGAAAGAAGAGACCAGGAGACATCCTGAGACAGGGCTTTTCACACTCCAGTCAGAGCTGATGGTGACCCCAGCCCAGGGAGGAGCACCACACCCCACCTTCTCCTGTAGCTTCATCCCTGGCCTTCCCCGGCGCCGAGCCCTACGCACAGCCCCCATCCAGCTCAGTGTCCGGGGCGAGCACGGAGGTGGGGAGGGCTCCCAGCTCGGGTGAATACATTCTGACAGTATGGTATTGGGACCACACACAGGTGTGATTCAGCCTCATGCCCCTTCCCCTGCCCAGACCCTGTGCCTCTGGAGGAGGTCCAGTTGGTGGTGGAGCCAGAAGGTGGAGCAGTAGCCCTTGGTGGTACCGTGACCCTGACCTGTAAAGCCTCCACCCAGCCCCCTCCTCAAATCCACTGGATCAAGGATGTGAGTGACCTGGAGAGGAGCGGGGCGGTAGAGATACATAACTGGCAACTAGGAGGGCAGGGTTCATGGAGAGGCAGGCAAGGAGCTGGGGAGGAAGACAGGGTACCTGAGGATGTGGAGACAAAGACAGGAGTATGGGATGTATGGACAGGGATTATAATTGTCTCCTGTCGCCTTTCCCCCACCCAGGGAACACCCCTGCCCCTTCCCCCCAGCCCAGTGCTGCTCCTCCCTGAGGTGGGGCCTCAGGATCAAGGAACCTACAGCTGTGTGGCCACCCACCCCAGCCAGGGACCCCAGGAAAGCCGTGCTGTCAGCATCAGCATCATCGGTAAGGAGATCTCTCCCAAAACCCCAGGAACCCTGTGCAGGCTCCAGTTACCTACCCCATTCTGGCACTGTCCCCAAGAGCCACCCGCTCCACCCTCAGTGTACCCACACCCAGGCCTCAGCTGCCCCACCCAAACCTACCGAGAGCAGCCCAGCCTGTCCCCTCTCCACTCTGAACTAAAGAAAGGGGAGACTCGCCCTGGCCAGTTTGGCTCAGCAGTTAGAGCCTGTGGACCAGAGTCGCGGGTTTGATTCTGGTCAAGGACACGTACCTCGGTTGCGGTTCATCCCTGGCCCTGGTTGGGTTGTGCGGGAGGCAGCCAGTCGATGTGTCTCTCTCACATTGATGTTTCTCTCTCTCTCTCTCCCCCTCCCACTCTGTCTGAAGATAAATGGAAAAATATCCTCGGGTGAGGATTAAAAAAAAAAGGACTCCACTGGGGCTCCCACTAAATAGGCCTCTCCCAACCTAAAGCCTCCCTTTCTGACTTGCTCTGACTTTGTCTTCCAGAAACAGGCGAGGAGGGGCCAACTGCAGGTGAGGGGTTGGATAAGTTCAGAGAAGCAGACCCCAGTGTGACTGGGGAGATGGTCAACAAAAAAGGAGTGGTGAGTGGTGGGGCTGTGCCCTCAATCTTGCCCATTTCCCTACAGGCTCTGTGGGAGGGCCTGGGCTGGGAACTCTAGCCCTGGCCCTGGGGATCCTGGGAGGCCTGGGGGCAGCTGCCCTGCTCATTGGGGTCATTGTGTGGCAAAGGTGGCGACGCCAAGGAAAGGAGAGGTGAGTGGAGAAAGCTAGACACCTCAGACTTGGGGCTTCCAGGCAGCAAGGAGAGGTATGGGGGAAATGCAAGGACCCATGTGCAGAATTCTACCTTATCCTCCTCCCTAGGAAGGTCCCAGAAAACCAAGAGGAGGAGGAAGAGCGTGCAGAGCTGAATCAGTCGGAGGAGCCCGAGGCAGCCCAGAGCGGTGCAGGAGGGCCCTGAGGGGCCCCCAGCCACCCCGATCCCTCAGCTCCCTTTTATTTTCCCCACACAGTTTTGGCCCCAGACCAGTTCTCCTTTGTATAACCTCTACTTACTCCGCCAAGCTTTCTTCCACAACAAAAACCTCCCACAAATATGAGTAAACACCTGACATACCTTGCTCCCTGTGCTTGTGTGTGTGTGTGTGTGTGTGTGTGTGTGTGACGCCCTCACTGCCTGCAGCCCTGAGAGCTTCCCCACACCACACCAAACATCTACCCAAAATGGGCAGATGTTCCTGTCTGGGAAGAAAGCAGAGGAAGGACAAAGGAGTAGTGTTCCTATCAATACATTTCAATTTGTTTATTGAATTTGTAATAAAGAAGGTAGTGAGGGGAAGGGAGCATTTAGAGTCAGAACCCACATTAGACACTGGGGAGAGAAAAATTAAATTAAATCAACATGGGGAAAATTGGGAAGAGTCAGAGGGGGTCTTGCCCACCTTTCAACATCAAGAAATGTGGGGAAAGCACAGGATGAGGCAAGAGAACAAACAGACCTTCTCTGCAGTCCATCCTCCTCTCCGAGCTGGGAGGTATGCTGCTACCCAGGGGTGCCACTGAGTGAGCGCGCAGTTCAGAGGATGCTTCTCCCACCCTACGTGCAGGTGGCTCCTACCCACACCCTCCTGCAGAGTGGCCAGGGTTGGCCTTAGCCAACAGAAATGGAGGGGCTGGGGGGAGGATCCATGAGTAAGGAAGGGTCCACAGGGACCCCCAATACTGATTCTCCTCTAGCTGGAGGTGGGCAAAGGAGACATAATTCAAATACTGAGCAGCCAGAAAAAGAAGAAGATGGCGAGAAACAGGAAGAGGGAGTCCTGCCAGCTGGAGGCCGGGTGACCCTGTCCCAGATCCACACCTGCAGGAGAAAGGAAAGCTGTGGCAGAAGCATCCACTCCAGGGCTGGGGCAGGCAGGGGGGGATTCATGGGGCTCCGGGTAGGGGCTGAGGGGCTCCTACCTACACCCTGGCGGAATGGCTCATGGGTATTGAAGACGGTGGTGAAAAATCCGAAGGGAAAAGCACCAACACCAAATGAGAAATGAAAGCCCCCAGTATCACCAAATGGCTGGAATCCCTAAGGAGGTAGAGAAAGTCAGAGTGGGGCTGGGCAAGTCTTTAGCAAGGAAGGAACACAATCAGACAAGACTCACCCCTCTGCTCTCTGGAGCTGGTCGCTGGCCTTGGGGGCGGGGTGGAGTTTTCAATCTGAGGAAGAAGGGACATCAACAAGAGATGTGCTCTCCATTTCCACACTCCACTCCCAGGGAGAAAGTCTTCCACCTTCCCTTAGCACCCTCCTCTCTCTCACCTGGGATCCTGGGGCTTCTGGCTCCCTCGCCCATAAAGGGGGACAACCTTTTCTCTGCTGATCCCAGCTTTACACACTGGGCACTCTTGCCGCTCTGGCCGTGTCTCCAGCCACTGGGGGGAAAAATGAAGTGGTTTCCAGTACACAGCAGGGTCTTCCAGCTCCTCAGACCTCCCCCATTTCCCTCTTCATCTCCTCTGAGTACACACCTGATGAAGACAGGGCCAACTGGATGGGGGGAAAAAAAAGGTCAAACTAGCTACAGGAAAGAGAGGCAGACCCTACCCCAGGAGTCCCATCTCATCCCCAATTCCCAGATATTACCAGCTGTCCCTTTACACAGTGTCCACTCCCTCTACAATGCCAGCCAACTTGGCCTTCCTGCTTTTCTAATCTTATAAACACCTAAACCTTCATCCATCCTCAAAATGTTCAACCCTCTCCTCTCCCCCAAAACACACACACATTCTCATCCTCTCCCTTCTTTTGACTTAATTTTCAATTCTCTTCAACCACCCCTTTCCAGATCTTTCAGTCCCAGCCCCATCCTTGCTCACATTACTCTCAAACCAAACCCCCCCCTAACTAGCACCCTCCCCCACTACTCGTTTTCCTCTCTTCCAGACCCAATAAAATCCCTACTGCCATAATCCTTTAACCTTTCAAGACTGTCCCTCCACATGCCCTCATCCCCGGGACATACCATCCCCTGCCATACCTCACCTGAATGTGATCCCACAGTCCCTAGGTCTCCTCCACTCAACTAATGCCTCCCTCTCCTCTAAGGCTAACCGGTTTCCACCTGCATAGCTAAAATCTCTCACTTTTCTGGGATAAGGTGGTTCAAGTCTCACCTGTACAGATGTGCACCGTCCACCCTCCCGCCCCACTTTCTAACACACCATCCGCTCCAGCTCCTAGCTCCTATGACTCTCCTTTTCACAGGTCTCTTGTACAGACGCGACCCTCCCACCCACACACCCCGAAGACATATGCCTCCTCCCCTGGGCTCACCTATGGGAATGTGCCCTCCGATTATCCGCATGGTTGTGTGGTTCCCCCCGCCCCAGCCTCCCCCGTATGGAGGTGGGCCCCAGTCCTTTCGCCCCTTTCCCGATTCTCACCAGTACAGGTGGCCACACATACTGATCACAGCTTCCCGAGCAGTCTCCAGGCATATATTACATTCGAAGGTCGCGCCCGCCCCTCCCCGCTCGTAGTTTGGCCCTTCGGGGCCCCCATCCTCCTCCTCCGCTGCTGCCATGGCCGGTTCGGTTTCGCCCCCACGTACTCCTTAGTCCCCGCAAACACACATACACAAGCCCCAACAGACAAGAAACAGCCTCCCGCTCGCAATCGCTGAGGAGGCTTCAAGGTTTTTAAATCATGATTGGTCTGAGTGCCTGCCAATCACACAGAATTCAAAAGAAAGGATTGGTCCAGAGGTGGGAGGTTTGCGCGGTCCCGCCCTTGCACAACGACTATTGGCTTATACAGTCGCAGTCCCTATGCAATGCCACACATCCTGTAGCCGGGCCAGGGAAGGTTTTATTCGTCTGGGTAGCTGCCAGTCATATCCAAAGGCCAGAGTAATTGGTTCACGACTACACCGATCTCGGCCGTATACGCTCCTTTCTATCCTCCACTGCCTCTGTCTAAGAATGTCGGGATTCCTATTGGGCTTTGGACAGTAAGGCTCCAAAGCAATTGATTGGCTAGACTCGAAGAAAAATGGTGGTTAGGTAAAATGCGCGTGCTCAGCAGGCGGCGGGAAGGGGTGGACCAACCCTATGAGGGTTGAACTTTCTCTGGTCCCACCCTTCACCCCTAGCATGTCGTCATGGTGACTGCTCTACAATTGGCTGGGTTTGGGAGTTCAAAGGACTCGGCTCAGCCTCATCCGAGTCCTCCGGCTGTGGTATCTTTCGCCTGATTGGACCGTTTCTTTCGCCCCTAATTGGCCGAAATCGGAAAAGACAGCGAAGAGCTCAGGAAAGAGGGCAATACTAGGGTCGCAGGGTTCAAAATGGCTCCGGCCTCCTTCGGTGACGTAGAGAGAAAAACTTGGGTCCGCCCCTCCCTCTTACTGAAGAAGGAAGAACTGGGATTAGCCCGACGTTTGGATGGTGCGAGCATCGACCTGCGGCGCCGGTGTTAACCCGCCTCCCTCGCCGGACGGCTCCGCCCGCCCCTCTCTAGGTGATTTACACAGCAGAACGGCCCTGAAGGCCCACCCTTTTTTAAAGTGACCGGTAGAACAGAGGCGACCTCGACTCGGTTTTAAACCTTAGCAGTAGAAAACGCTTCGCCCTACCACTTTGTGAGTGGGTGCAGGAGGGGCAAGGCCCGCCCCTTTTTAAGGCGACCTGCGGTGAGCGGGGTTAGGCCCGCCCCTTCCTTCTTGCAAGATGCCCAGGAGAGCTGGGGTCTTCCTCCTGGGCTGGACCCTTGGGGCTTAGGCAAACTGCTTCAGAGCTTGGGCCTTTCGTCCGAGTTTGGGCCTTTGTTCTGCAGTCAGTGACCCTCCTTGTGGCCCAAGGAGCGGAACTAGGTAACACTTCTCCCACTGCCAGTGCTCGTACATCTTCCTCAGGGCGTGTAAGGTCTCGCACGGCGAAGGTGTGTCGGGGCGCGGCAGACCTGGGCTGAGGGCAGTTCAGCAACAACCTGATAAAAGCAGGGGAGGTGAGGGATCAGGAGTCAGCACAGGTTTGGAGAAAAGGTTATTGAGAAGAGGTGGAGACCAAGGGAGAAGCAGTGATAGAATGATCCTGGTAAAGGGGTAATGGGAATCCGGGGAGCACGGGCTCTAAACGGAGCTAGATACGTGGCTACAGAATTAAGGAGGCATGCTTGTCCCACAGGAATCAGCATTCTCACTTTTCCCTCCAAGAAAGCAACCCTGATGCCCAATTGTAAGAATAGATGCTCCCAGATTCTGTGTTGGGGAGAGGGGTTGTCAGCTTGGGTGAGTACGGGGACTGATAGGGAGGAACTAGGAAAAGTACTGAGGTTAAAGAACATGGAAAGAGGGGGGTAGGGAGAGGGCCTAAGTAGTCTTTCTCCTTAGAGGGGGGAGGAGGGAGTTGGACTGCTGGGAGGTAGTGAGGGGACAAAGGACAAAGAGACCAGAGTAGAGGGGACAAAGAGAGGTGAAGGATCCAGGGCTTGGCATCTAGTAGATGCTTGATAAGTATTTGGAATTGAATGGGGGACAAGAAAAGGGGTCTTAGAGAAGAGTTGGCGGGAATAAGCAGCAGATGTGGGAGTAGAGAAAGGAAGAAACCAAGAAAAAGTGACAAAAGGAGAGGTGATGAAGACTGAGAAGGAATGGGCTGAGAAAGGAATACAGCCTGTAGGGACACACAAGTCATGTTTGCTGAAAGGGAGTTTTATGGAGGAAAAAAAAAGATGCAGCTGCAGCCGGAGGACAGAGGCAGAGCCCAGCCCAGCAATCCTGTAGCGGAGGTAGCGAGAAGAGACTGGTTGATGCGGGGAAGAGATGCCTAGAAGCCTGGGAGGCGATTGGCAAAACAGGCCGCCCATCACCGCCCCTACTTCCTGACCAGCCCCGGAAACCAGCAGGCGTTGGGGAGGGGTGGGGGGCGGATAGCGGCGGCGGCGGCAGCGGCAGCCCCAGCCCTCAGACAGCAGGAAGGGAGGGAGGGAGTTGGGGGGACTACCCCCCACCATTCCCACCGCTATGGGCCCGTCCTCCCACTCTCACCTCCCCTCCATCGGCCGGGGCTAGGATACCCCCCAATTCTATCGCCCCCCTGGGCACCGACACCCCGAACGAGGCAGAGACAGCCACTCGCCACCACCGCTGCTGCAGCCTGGCTGGGGAGGGGGCCGGCCCCCCAGGCCCCCCTCCCCACTGAGGTGGGGGCAGGAAAGGGATGGGAGGAGGAGGAGGGAGGGTGCTGAAAGGGACCTGGAGGAGAGGGTGGGGGAGAGATTGGGTTTGGGAGGGCGGACTGGGGAGAGGGTTGCTGGGAAAAGGATGAGAGCCGACTAGAAAGAGGGTTTCTGGGGAAAGGAGAGGGGGCCTGAGGGCGAGGAAGGATGGAAGAGACCAGGGGGAGAATTGGAGACCCTGTGAGTTGTGGATGGGTGTGGACCGGGAATCCTGGAGAGGGAATTCCTGCACCTTCCCCAGTTCCTTTCCTTGCCCTTTGGCCCCACTTGACTCTTGGAAGGTTGTGGCTGGGAGAAGGTGGTTAATTGCCCTCCTTCCCCAGCAGAATTGGCTTCCTAGGAATGCCCTCAGACAGGTCTGCTTTCATCTAGGCACAGGGCCTCTTGTTTTTCAGTGGCCTTCTGCATGCTAGACCCTTACACCCAGGGCCTTGTGTGTTTTCTATGTTGAATCTCTGTACCTTTGACATAATGGCTTGTGTGCAGCTAGGTTGTCCTATGCTATCCATGGGCTGTGGGAAAATGGTGTGTTATTGTCCATCAGAATTGCCCGGTCTCATATATTAGGTCCATGTCTCACGTCGAGTCTTGACATGTTCAAGTTTGTGAATTTTCATATATGAATTTTCATATACGTATTGCATCTATTATTGGCTTCATGTTTCTTGCCCATGCTGTGTTTCTGCCTGTTTACTTTAGCATGTAGAGATTATTCATTGTTTTTGGGGGGGCACACATATCCTATCCATGGTCCTGCCATATGCAGTGGTCTTCATGCGTGGGAACCATGGCTTACCCAAGTAGCACACGCTCCTTTCATGATCGGCTTGGCCTCTTTGCTGCATGCTTTCCCAGTCAGGGCTCACTCCACACTGATGTGTGCTCCTTCACATGATACACATGACTTGTCCATAGCATGTGTGCTTACGGTCACACATACTGTTTATTTCTTAATTTTATTGGCAATATATTTTGGAAGCTATGTGCTCATCAACCCATTTGACACTCCACTGTGTTTATAAATCTTTTGATATTTCTGCTCCAGAGAGTATAACTGGGCCTCCGTCTCCCCGAAGAACCACGCTCAGGTGCCTTACCTCACTTACTTCTCTGGCCTGTGTCTCTTCCTGCACATTATCTCACCAGTAGCCATGTACAGACTGTGTCCATGGAGCTCAGTGTGTGCCACAGGGTCAGCCCTGCCGTGCACATGATCTGTCCCCCAACTCTGCACTGTTGGCATGTATTTGATGACAGCAGCATCTTTCCCCGTGGCATGTTAATTCCCATTCTCTATGTTTCTCTTGTGTGTACGATGGCATGTGCCATCTTGATTGTTGTCACTGCTTTCACTGTGGCCGTGTATTCAGAGTAGGTTACTGTTAGGCTTAGTGTGTTCACTGCCTTCTCAGTGACTTTCCTTTTCATAGCTAATAGCCCTCAAGAGGATACCTATCTTATTCATTCTTGGAACAGTCATCTCTGTCATTAATTTTGGTTGTGTGGGTATGTGTACAGTCTGATAATCTGTTCAGCAAATGTTGGAGCACCTTCTCTGCCCCTTCTTGTCCTGGGCATTGGGGATAAGACAGAGCCCGTTCTCAAGCTGTTTATAGACTAGAGAGGGAAACAAATACCAGTGAGCAGTTATACACAGTGGTGTCAAGATCAGTGGTTCTCAGACTTACCTGGAAGGCTTGTTAAAACAGATTAATGGGCCCAACACCCAGAATTTCTGATCCATGAGGTCTGAGGTAAGGTCCAAGAAGTTGCATTTCCACACTTTGAGAACCAGTGATTAAGATAACCCAGCCAGCGTGGCTCTGTGGATTGAGTATAGTCTCATGGACTGAGGGGTCCCAGGTTTGATTCCCGTTCAGGGTACATGCCTGGGTTGCAGGCTCAATCTCCTGTGGGGGGCATGCAGGAGGCAGCTGATCGATGTTTCTCTCTCATATCAATGTTTCTATCTCTCTATCGCTTCCTCTCTCTCAAAAATCAATAAAAATGTTTTTTTAAAAGAAGATAAAAGTGTAATGAAAAGTTAGGCCTGGGGGGTTCAAGAAGACCTCCAAAATGTGACACTTAGCTGAGTGAGGCAGGTGAAGAGGTGGAAGGGCATTCCAGCCAAAAGGAACAGCATGTTCATGGCACAGAAGCATGAAAGATCATGGTGTGTCTGAGGAACTGAAGAATTATCTGTGTAGTAAAAGGTGTTTGTGGACATGTGGCCAAAGACGTAAGCAGAAATCAGCTTGTCACGAAGGGCCTTTAGGCAATACAGGGAAATGCCCATATTTGTGTTACCAAAAAATCTCTGGTTGCCATGTGGAAGAGGGATTGGAGGGGAAGAGTTTGGAGCCTGTCGCACAGGGCCCAGAGATGTGCTGGTCGGAGCCTGCAGGGGCAGTGGGTTTAGAGGTGGCAGAGTCGCCCCTTTCCTCTGTTGCCTGTTACCTTCACTCTTGGCAGTGGGCTTAGTTTGAGCATAGCTCTTCCTGTCATTGGAAAGGAGTGTCTTTGGCCTTCGTAGTATTTGCCTGAACACCGTCTTTTGTGAACTGTGACTCTGCCCCCGGCAGTGGGGCAGCAGAGTGGAGGAAGAAGGAAGAGCTTAAGGCAGGTTCTGGGCACCTGCCCATCTTCCTCCTGAGCTCTTTCCTCTTGCAAGGCAGGTGGCGTGATGCCCCTTTTACTTACCCTTGTACCTGCCCGAGCGAACTGCCTCCAGTGTCACTGGAAGGGAGGGAAGGAGTGCTGGGATTCATATGCTGTCTGGAGGCAGGATCAACGTCACTCCTGGTACGCCATGGCTTTGTCAGGAGGCTGCCTGGGGGGGGGGGGGTCTCCAGGTATGCATTTCTGATCCTTCCTGTCACCGGGTGCGATTATAAACGTGTGTGTTTGTGTGAACTGGTTGGTCTTTGTGTGTTTGCCTTAATGACAGAGCCTTTATTCTTTCCAGTCAGCCCTTGAGAACGTCTGTGGTTTTCATGACTTTCACTGTACGGGTTGTGTGCACCTGAGTGACATGCCTATAGGCAGCAGGGGACGAGTGGCCAGGGGCACAAGTTGCTTAGGTTGAAGCTAGGAAGTGCCTCTTGGGAGGCATGTAGCACCTCAGTCAGGTGAGTTATTTCACCTCTCGGGGCCTGTTCCCTAGAAAGTGCAAATGTGGTTTAACACAGCGTACAGTGTATAGACCGGCTCTGTCTAACACAAATGTAACGCAAGCCACATACGTAGTTTTTAGATTTTTGGTAGCTGCATTGAAGAAGGTAGAAAGTAACAGAGTAAAATTAATTTTAGTGTACTCTCTTGAATACAAAAATTTGTGATTTCAAACCTTTTTTTTGTATATCAATTTTGTATATCGATATAAAAGGTTATTAATGGAATATTTTGCATTCTGTTTTTATTCAAAGTTTTTCAGATCTGATGTGCATTTCACATCTCCAGCATAGCTCAGTTCGGGTTAGGCCACATTTCTTTTTTTTTTATCCTCTTCCGAGGACATCTTTCCATTTTTTGTACAGACAGAGTGGGAGGGAGAGAGAGGAGTAGAGAGAGAGAGAGGGAAACATCGATGTGAAAGGGACACATCGAGTGGCTGCCACCCGCACGACCAACCAGGGCCGGGGACAAACTGCAACCGAGGTACGTGCCCTTAGCGGGAACCGAACCCGGGTCTCTCCGGACCGCAGGCGACGCTCCAACCGCTGAGCCAAACCGGCCAGGGCAGGTTAGGCCACATTTCAAGAGCTCAGTCCTGCGTGTGGCTGGGGCTGCTGCGTTAGACCCAGCAGGACTCTTATAAGACCCTGACCGAGGTACTTTTCATTATCCTTTTTTTTAATCCTCACCTGAGGACATTTCTCCATTTTTTGTTCAGATAGAGTGGGAGGAAGAGAGAGGAAGAGAAACATTGATGTGAAAGGGACACATCAAGTGGTTGCCACCTGCACGACCCAATCAGAGCCGGGGACAAACTACAACCGAGGTACGTGCCCTTAGCGGGAATCGAACCTGGGTTTTTCTGGACCACAGGTCGGTGCTCTAACCGCTGAGCCAAACTGGCCAGGGCTCATTGTCCTTTTTTTATCATGCATCTGTGACTTGTGAATATACATGTCTCATGTCTTGTGCATCTGAAGATATCTGGAGCCTTCAGAGAGGGGTGGGAGACCAGTCCCGAGCTCCCCACTGCCTCCATCCTATTTTTCCTGCCTTCTGTGCCTCATCCGCCGCCCCCCACCCCCCAAAATCAGGCCTGCTGTCCCTCACCCCAATCCCTGCAGGTAACCAGAATGGAGCTGTGGCCAGGGGCATGGACGGTGCTGCTGCTGCTCTTCCTGCTGCTGCTCTTCCTGCTGCCCACCCTGTGGTTCTGCAGCCCCAGTGCCAAGTACTTCTTCAAGATGGCCTTCTACAACGGCTGGATCCTCTTTCTGGCTGTGCTCGCCATCCCTGTGTGTGCTGTGCGCGGACGCAACGTCGAGAACATGAAGTAAGGGCCAAGGGGTGTTGGGTGATGAGGGAAGCTAAGAGTCGAAAGCGAGAAGTGGTGGGGAGGGCATGGGTGTGCAGGAGAGACTGAAAGAGTCCAGGGACAGGAAGTGGAGAGGACTGCAGAGATGTCCAGAAAGAGGGTAGGGAAGAAGGGAGCTGAGGCATGCAGGCGGACGTCACTGGACCCCTCTGGAATCGCTTGCTGTGCCACCCTTAGGATCTTGCGTCTGATGCTGCTTCACATCAAATATCTGTATGGGATCCGAGTGGAGGTGCGAGGGGCTCACCACTTCCCTCCCTCGCAGCCCTACGTCGTCGTCTCCAACCATCAGAGCTCCCTTGACCTGCTTGGTGAGACCCTCATAGAGCACACCTCCCCCAGCCAGGCCCTTCCTCCTGGAACCTTCCCTGAATCTCTTGGAGGTGCTCGACTCCCTCTTGACTCAGACATGGCCTTCTTTCCTTCATAAGCAGGGTGGTAGGCCTTTAATCCCTCTACTTAGGTCTTCCCCGGCTCTGTCCCCCCCTTCCTTTATATCCAGGCCCTAGTAGTGTGGGTGATGACCTGGGTGAGGTGGGCCACCTCCACCCTCATGCTACCCCACCCTGACCTCTGCCCCAGGGATGATGGAGGTACTGCCTGGTCGATGTGTGCCCATTGCCAAGAGGGAGCTACTATGGGCCGGCTCTGCCGGGCTGGCCTGCTGGCTGGCTGGAGTCATCTTCATCGACCGGAAGCGCACTGGGGATGCCATCAGTGTCATGTCTGAGGTTGCCCAGACCCTGCTCACCCAGGATGTGAGTAACCCTGGGGACATGGAGGCGGGGAGTAATGGAGTTGAGCAGTTGTAAATAAACTAATATGCAGGGCCAAGGGACCTCAGAAGTCCCATTACAGCATCATAACCATTTTGTGACTCCTCCATTCATGTGTGTCTTCCTTGACCCTCTTTCTTCCCCAGGTGCGGGTCTGGGTTTTTCCTGAGGGCACAAGAAACCACAACGGCTCCATGCTGCCCTTCAAACGTGGCGCCTTCCACCTTGCAGTGCAGGCCCAGGTGATTACTGCTCCCCTTCTGCTGCTGAGCCCCAGCCCCCACCATCCCTTCCTCTCTGGCATGTCATGGGGGCCTCAGAAGGGAGCCAGGGGCTCATCACTTTTCCCTTTCCCCAGGTACCCATTGTCCCCATTGTCATGTCCTCCTATCAAGACTTCTACTGCAAAAAGGAGCGCCGCTTCACTTCCGGTGAGGGTTCTGAACGGAGCTGGAGGTGGGGGGCCAGAAGGGTCATGGCAGAGGCTAGAGGGATGTCCCTATAGGGCAGGATCAGTCTGTGTCAGAGCTGTGACACAGTATTTATTAAGCACCCACCATACCCTGATAGATAGTAACAGTTGGTCCCTCCAAGAGAGGCCATTACTGTCTAGCAGGGAGATAAGGCCTGTGTGTGCAGAGCTGTGACACTCAGCGATTAACACTGAGCCTAGACTGTGGGGCTGGAGGGGGCCGTGTCTGGTCTGGGCTTTGAGGAAGGCTTGGTGCAGGAGGGCCTTGCAGGAGGCACCTGGCAGGCAGAGGGGCAGTTGCCCAGGGTCGGCGGAAGAGCACTGACAGGTTGAGGAGGGGAGTAGCAGGAGAGCTCAGAAACTGGGCCCAGCCTGTGGGCAGAGGCCTGGGTAGACAGGCCCTGATTGTGCTCACCCCTCTTCCAGGGCGATGTCAGGTCCGGGTGCTGCCCCCAGTGCCCACAGAAGGGCTGGCACCAGATGACGTCCCAGCTCTGGCCGACAGAGTCCGGCACTCCATGCTCACCATTTTCCGAGAAATCTCCACTGATGGCAGGGGTGGGGGTGACTATCTGAAGAAGCCTGGAGGAGTGGGCGAGGCCCGGCTCTGAGCCCCTCTCCCGTTGACCCCCACCTTCCTCCACACACCTGCCAGCCCAGTGGGTTCTGAAGCAGGACCAAGCCCTCTTCCTCGTTTACTCTCTCCCCACTCGGTCTCCTCTTTGGAATCTCCAGCTTCCAAAGTGAATGTCTCTGCCCCTTCCCAGCTCCCCTCATGGACTCTTCTTGCCTCGGTGCAGTCTCCACCCTGACCTTCACCCACCTCTTGTGCCATCGAGTCTGTGGGACCGTTGCCTCCCCCTCATCTCCAGTGTCTCAGCCTACACTTGAGTGGAAGCACTCCATCCTGTCCCCCGGGGACCTTCTTCCTTTGTGGTCTTCTCTCCCTCTCCGCCCTACATTGGCCAGTGGACTCATCCATTCTGTGGAACAATTCCCCACCTCCACCCCCAGGTCCATGGATTCACTGGACTCATCCGTTTGTGAGGAGGACCCCTCATGCTGTGCCTGGAAGCTTACGCCTGGAACACTCCTCCCAGGCTCCTCCTGGGAGTACTCAGCACCTCACCCTCCCTCCGCGGAGCCTCCTGTCACAGAGGCTGGGCTCTCCTCACTCAGAGGTCTCATTCCAGCCCATGCCCAGGTGCCCTGGACTGAGCACACATCTGAATGCCAGTTTGGTCTTCACATTTCTGCTTCCCCTGCCCGGTGCCCTGCCCCACCCATCCCGCTGCAGCCCTGCTGTACCACTCTGACGAGACAAGGGCAAGAGGCCGTAGCGGTGCCGCTCGCACTGCTCCTTGGGGGCTAGGGGAGAGCACTGAACTCTGGCTGGGGGGTGGGAGGGCTTTTAATTTATTACTCTTTTTTTTAAGGTTTCCCTCTGAGCCAGTTTTCATTTCCTCCCATGGCATTAGCCACCCCCTGCCTCCCATCCCAGACCTGTGTCCACAACAGGAGGGGCTGGGAGCAAAAGGAGAGGGTGGGACTCAGTTTTTCGTGGTTGGTTTTTATTAATTATCTGGATGACAGCAAAGAACCGAGAATAAAGATTGCGAGAGATCTGTGTGTGTGAGGAGCTGAAGCAGCAGTCCCCATGCCCCAGGCGATCTGCCCCAGCTGGAAGACACTGCTCCTGAGTGGAGAAAGCCTTAGCTGCAGCCCCCCAGCTGGAGGGTCCCGAAGGACCAGTGGGGTCCAGTTTCCATGTAAATGAGGGCAGAGGTTCTGCAGGGGCTCCTCACTGCCGCCGATTGAGCCTCGGACCCAGGCTGTTGTCCTCACAGGAGCCTGGTTAATGACAAAGAGAAGGCAGACCGGCTGGCTGTGGACTGCCTCCAGCCCGGAGTGGACGTGAGGACTGGTCACAATAAGGAGTGACCACAGGTTGGGCTGGTGCCAGAAGAAAGGGGGTGAAGTGCAGATGTCTGGGAAAGGTATGGGGAGAGAGTGTTGGGGAAGGGTTCTGGGAAAAGGCTGAATTGAGAAAGGCGAGGGCAGTTGGGGAATAGGGTCCCAGCAGAGAGGGGCATAAGAACTCACAGGCGCCTAGCCTCTCCTCCAGCAGTAGCACCTGGTCGCTGAGAGACTCTATCCTGTCGCCCCGGCCCCACAGCTCTGCCACTTGTTCCGGCTGCAGGTCTTCAGGTGGCATGGGCAGCAGCGCCCGCACCCAGGCCCCGGCCTGCCCAGCCCACTACAAAGTAGGAGACACCCCAGGGTGTTGTGGATGGGGCGCGCCCTGCTGGGCAGGCTCGGCCCCAGGCGCCCAGGCTCACCTGCTCCAGCCGCTCCAGGCGCCCTCGCAACTCACGAATCTCCCACCTCAGGGTGCGCTCATCCTGTTCCGCTTCCCGAACTGGGACAAAGGAGAGTGACCACCTCCCGCCCGGGCCCTGCCGCCAGCCCGGCCCTCCCGGCGGCCGCACTCGCCACTCACCTGCCACGCTAAGGATGCTGGCACTAGTTGGAGGCTCAGGGGACCCCTCTGCGCAGGTGCGTCCGTCCAGGCCCAGCACCAGGCCGTCGGGGCAGCCACAGACGAAGCTGCCTGCGGTGTTTAGGCAGTGGTGCGAGCAGAGGGTGACGCCAGTCCTACATTCATCCACGTCTAGTTACCGGAAAGAGGGGGGCTCAGGGGCGGGGCGGGGCGGGCGCCCGGGTGGGCAGGGAGGGCCACGAGCCGACTCACCCACATGACAGTGCTTCCCACCCCAGCCGGGGGCGCACTCGCACTGGTCAGGGCGATGGCAGACGCCTCCGTTCAGACAGGGTTTAGCGCAGACGGCTGGGGACGCAGGAAAGGCCGTTTGGAACGGCCCGCGGGCTCCCTAACCCACCCCCCACCCCCGCACCTCCCTGAGGCCCAAGGACAGCCTGCCTCACCTTCATCACAGGTAAGCGCCCCTGGATGCCGCTTCTTCCAGCCCTGGCAGCACACGGCCTGCGTCTGCCGCACCTCCCTCCTCACCTCCCGCCACGCCACGCGGTATGTGGTCCTGGAACATAGTGCCCGGCTCTGGACCCTGACATAAGAGTCAGGGTTCTGGGGTTCCTCTTGAAAGACCCCGGAATCCAAGCTCCTGGTCCCTCACCTGTAGGTGCTGCAGACGCGCCTTCCAGAGCACAGGGTCAGGTAGGGCTTGTACACCGGCTGGCTGTAGGACTCGTTGTAACGGAGCGGGACCACCAGTGTCTGCTTGGAGCAGACCCCATGACTGCACCCGTGCGGGAGAAGGCGGGAGACACTGAGTGGGCCAGGCCCTGGGGAGCCTGAAGTCCTGCATCCCTCTAGGTTCACTGAGGCCCAGCCCTCCCTTCAGGTGACAGCCTTACCCCCATTCTAAACTTCTTTGTTCGCCACCTGTGAAGCCCCACCCCCAGGTGGTTTTCGGAAGATCTCGCCCAGCCCCACCCCTCTGTCGTCACCTCTCTTTGAGGGATCCACCCTTGGACCCTTCGCCTGACTTCAGTAGGAGGAGGAATGAGAGTCCGCCTAAGAGAGTGCACAGCTCAGCCCTGGACCCCATGATTCTCGACTCCAGACTTTGGGCTGCAGGCAAGAAGATGTTAATGATGGCCCTTCCCTCCCCCATTAACTTCAGCTCCAGCCCCACCAGAGCAGCCTGCTGGTACCCCTACGGGTAATGGGATATTCATCTGTACACACTTGCACTAGTCACCAGGATTGCCAACACATGTGGGCATGCAGTGGTCCATGCAGCACCACACAGACTCACACCCTAACACCCTCCTCCCTCCCCTCATGACCCTTCAATCTCTAACATGCCCTCTTCCACCTTACTCCTACTTTCAAAACCTCAGGTCTTCATCACTACACCTTCTCCCTCCTTGCACAAAAACCCACACCTGGAAACTCCACACCTTAAAACACATTCCTGCTACCCTCGCACACCCGTGTCATGCCTTCACATACACCCTTCACCCAAGCAACCATCCCACACGCACTCTAAGGCTCTGAATGACCCCAACTTTCCCCACTGACATTCTCTGCCCACTTGCCTTTCCTTCTCTCCCGAGACGTCAGGCCCACCAGCCGCAGCAGCAGCAGCTCAGACTGGTGGGCAGGCTGGGCTGCTCAGAGAGGAGGGGCTGGGCCACAGAGCCCTCCCATTCCTGCCCCCTCCCACAGGCCTCCCACAGCTCCAGCGTAGTCTGCTCAGTGGGGTCCAAGACCCACTACTTTCACCCCACCCCAGCAAAGGGCCCTCTAGAAGTATCTTCACAACTTTCTGAGGCCCCTTATTTCTTGACAACCCCCCCAAATCAGCAGAGGCTACTGGCTATATAATACTACCAGTACCCTTGGCCCTAGACTACCCCTTAAACCCAACACAGACTAGGGGAGAGGTGGGGGGGCTGGGAGAGAGCTAGCTAGCAGAGAACAAAGCAGGGTCAGGTCATGGGAGAAGAGGCAAGATCAGCTGAGGAAAGAGAGGCAGGGAAGTCACCACAGACAGACAGGGGCAACCCAGGGCACTATGGGGAAAACTGACCCCATTTCTTGATGGCATTTGTTAGGGCCTGGGTGGGGGCACAGTTGAGTCAGCCACCGCCCCCTATGCCAGAGTAGACAGGGCCCTATTGTCTCTACCAAAATTCCTTCTTTCAAGGAAGAGGAGGCTCATTGTCCAGCCCCTCACCCAGCTCTGGCCTATGAAGGTTGAAAAGGGGCTCAACAATGCTCACCCTGACCCTTATCCCCCTGGTCTAGCCTGGGGGTGGCAGGGACATTCCATCCATGAAGCTGGGGCACAAGCCACTGAAGCTCTGGGCTCAGGCCCCCAATCTTAGGCTGGGACAGGAAGAGAATTGTCCTCAGCAGGAAAGAACCCAGAGAGAATCAGGAACCTACACAGAATGGGCATTGAGAGAGCGGAAACACCAAGGGGGTCCCACCCCAGACCAGGCATCCGGGCACCCAGGCCTCAGGCTCTCCATTCCCACCCTTTTTGGGGAGCCAGGTCCCCCTCACCTGGAAATGAGCCAAGCCACTGAGGAAATGGAATTTTATTTCCATAAATATAGGGGTAACACCCACTCAAGGGTAGCTAAAAGAGGGGCTGGGGCCTCAAAGAAACTTGGCTCCAGAGGGTACCCCAACACTGAACATAGGGACTGGGGGATCCCCAAACCTGAGATGGGCCTCACAGGCCACAAATATTCCCCAACACTGACACTTCAAGAATGAAACTGTCCCCATAGGGGAGCCACAGGACCCCACTCTCATGGGCTGATGACAGGGGAGTTCAGTGAGGACAGAAGCGAGCAATGTCCTGAGCGGCCTGGGAGGAGACTCCTGTGGTGAGCAGGCTGGGTTTCCCCCTGTACAGCCAGAGATGGAGGAGCAGCCACAAGTTAAAAACCTGGTTTCCCACTTCCCAACCTCAGCCTTGGGAGGATGGGAGAGCATGGAGCAACCCCAAATGAAGACATGAGGTGGGGGAGACCAGGATTTGTCATTCACAGAGCAGAGGAGGGGGTCCTGGGAGCCCTGATTGGTGGGGGCAGTGTGCAAGCAATGCCGTGGTCACGGGCACAACAAAGCTTGACATCTGCTTTCCAAGGCCACCACTTGGTCTCTGGACCAGGGAGTTCCTATGGGATCCCTGGGGATGTCCTCAGGAGAGCCAAGGTTCGATACAGGTCTCATAAAGGGTTTGGTTGGAGTGCCAGGCCGTGTGGGCAATCCCAGCCATTGGACATCTCACTATGGCCCCCCGAGCCAAGAGAGTCTTCAACCCGAAAGAATCACGAAGATAAACCTTTGAGGTGGGCGAAGGGGCATGGAAGAAAGACACAGGGAGAGACAGTGAGTTCCTGCTGGTGTCCCAGGCCCCCTCCCCACAAGGCGAACCCTTCAGCTCATGAGTCAGTAGCAGGGAGAGCTGCAGACTGAGCTGGGACAGGGCGCGAAGAAATCCCAGGAACTCACCGGTTGCTCCTCCATCTCCAAGACTGTCTCATTTGCGTCATAGAAACCAAAGAAGCTACAAAGAGATGGGGGCGGAATGTTATCAGGAGAACTGGAGAAAATCACAGTGGGCTAGGGTCCTTTAGGAACTCACAGCCTGTTGGGGAGACAGGCATCAGGGAAGACACAATATTTAACTGGAGCCCTGGCTGGTTTGGCTCAGCCGTTAGAGCATCTGCCCACGGACCGGAGAGACCCGGGTTCAGTTCCCGCTAAGGGCAGGTACCTCAGTTGCAGTTTGTCCCCGGCCCTGGTTAGGGTCATGTGGGTAGCAACCAGTCGATGTGTCTCTCTCTCTTCCTCCCTCTCTCCCCCTCCCGCTCTATCTGGAGATAAATCAAAAATGTCCTCAGGTGAGAATATATATATATATATATGTGTGTGTGTGTGTATATATATATATAACTGGACATCATGTATCCCATGAAGTGACTCACTAAAGATACAGCATCACTTCGCTGAATTTCCATCAAAAATGTATAACCTGAGCCCTGGCCGGTTTGGCTCAGCAGTTGGAGCGTCGGCCACAGTCTGAAGAGACCTGGGTTCGGTTCCCGCTAAGGACATGTACCTCGGTTGCAGTTTGTCCCCGGCCCCAGTTGGGTTTGTGTGGGTGGCAACCACTCAATGTGTCCCTCTCACATAGATGTTTCTCTCTCTTCCTCCCTCCCTCCCTCCAGCTCTATCTAAAGATAAATGTAAAAAAAAAAATGTATAACCTGAATCTAATCTCGAGAAAATAGTTAACCAACCCAAACTCAGGGACATTCTATAAATAGCTGGCCTGTACACTTCAAAAGTGTCAATGTCCCAGACAAAGACTGAGGAAGTATTCCAGATTAAAACAGATAAAGAGACGTGAAAACTAAATGCAACACATGATCCTGGCTTGGATCCTGCACTGGAATTTCTTTTTTCTAAAAAGACAATTGGAAACATCTGAATAAGGTCTATAGAGTACCATATCAATGTTAGCTTACTGGTTTTGACCATTGTATTGCAGATATGTTAAAAAAAAAAAAAAAAAAAAAGTGCCCTGTATATAGGATATATCCACTGCCCTACTAAAGTTTTAGGGGTCAAGAGACATTATGTCTACAACCTACTTTCAAATAGTTACACACACACTATATACAGAGAGAGGAAGCTAATGTAGACATAGTAAAATGTTAACACTTGGGAAAACTAGGTGAAGAGTACACAAGATTGCTTTGTAGTACTTTGGTAACTTGTTAAGTATGAAATTATTTAAAAATAAAAGGGTCTTGAAAAGTGTGAGTTAATAATGTGTAACTGGCATGAGCACTGAGGGCCACTGGCAATGAAAGACTGAGGTGCTGGTGCCTGGCCAAGGAGCAAAGACGAGAAGCCACTGCCTTACTTTAGGGCATCAACCTTCACAGCGACAACCCGGGACTAGGGAAGGCTGCCCAGGCAAGTGGAATGCAAGAGCAAAGGCCCGAGGTGAGACACAGCTGGGTCCCGGGGAGCTGGGTGGGGGCCGGAGGCCATGTTGAGAAGCTGGATTTCATCCGCACGCGCGGGAGAGGAGCAGGGACAGAGACGGGACCTGCGCTCCAGCTCCACCCCACACTCGCAGCGAGTGCAGCTGAGCATGCTCCTTCTCCCCTGCAGCCTATGCAAGAAAGACCTCCCTTGTAGGGAGGAAGTAAAACATGTGGTTAACAGCCTGGCTTCACCACTTACTAACCTATGAACATAAGCAAATCATAAGCATTTCATCTCTTTGCACCCGTTTCCTAAAAGGCTGTTTTGAGGATTAAATGAGCTTTATTTGAAAAGTACTTAGAACAGTGCCTTGGGTCATAAAATGCACTACATAGCTGAGGTATTACTATCTTCATAGGGTTGTTATAGATCTGAAATGAAATATAAATAAATCCCATCTCTTACTATTATTATAAGGGATATTACTCCTTCACCCAAAACCCTCCAGTGCCTTCCTATTTTACTCAGAATAAAAAGTCAAGAGTCCTGGTTGCCAGGGACTGAGGAAGCCAGGGCTGAAGAGTCTGTGTTTAACGGATATGGAGTTTCAATTTGGGAAAAAGTTCCGGAGATGGATGGTGGTGATGGTTACACAATAATGTGAATGTACTTAATGCCAGTGGACTGTACATTTAAAAATGGCAAATTTTCGCCTGGCCGGTGTGGCTCAGTGGTTGAGCATCAACCCATGCACCAAGAGGTCACCGGTTCGATTCCTGGTCAGGACACACGCCCAGCTTGTGGGCCTGATCCCCGGTGGGGGACATGCAGGAGGCGGCCAATTAATGTTCTCTCTTATCGACGTTTCTCTCTCTCTCTCTCTCCCTCTCCATTCCTCTCTCTCTAAAATCAATAAAGAAAAAAAAATGTGGCAAATTTTGGCTTGGGTGGCACGGCTCAGTTGGTTGGAGCATCGTCCATGCACCAAAAGGTAGCAGGTTCAATTCCCAGACTGTGGGTTCAATCCCTGGTACGGGAGGCGAGGGATCAATCTTTCTCTTTCTCTCTCCTCTCTCTAAAATAAAGTCGAGGGCTTTACTTTGCCCCACAAAGGTTCAACCTAACAGTTCCCTGCTACCTCTTTCAACCTCCTCTCCCGCTCTGTCCCCAGCTCCCTGCCTTCACACCTGCCACCCCCCACACACGCTGTCCTTCTCCCTGGCCCTGCTTCAGCCACACTGTTGCACAACTCCTTCCCTCACTCCCTTCGGTCTCTGCTCAAAGAGCAGCTGTTCCAGGAGGACTTCTCTGGTCACTATCTAAAACAGGCTCCAGTCATCCTGAAAGCCCTTCCCCTGCCTTATTTTATTCCTTCCTGACCTACACGTTTACATCTATTATCTGTCTCCCCCACTAGACTGTAAGCTACAGAACAGCAGGGACTTCTCTTTTACCAACAGTTGCATTCCCCAGCCCAGAACAGGGCCATGGCACAGATGCCCAGTGACTAGGCCAGGTGACGCCAGACCACTGGTGAAAGTCGGGAACACAGGCACGCACACAGTGCCACGGAGACCTGGGGTGGGAGGGATGCGTAGGGAGGCAGTCACGGTAGTCCAGGTAGTAAAAGGGGTGCTAGGAAATAAAGTGGCATGCACTATCCTCCCACACTGTGCCAATGTCAAGTTCCTGGTGTTTGATACTGTGCTACAGTTGCATAGGATGCAACCACTGGGGGAAACGGGAAAGGATACACAGGACCTCTAAACCAATTTTGCAATTTCCTGTGAATTCATAATTATTTCAAAGTTAAAAGTTTTTACAGAATGGGGGCGGTGGGTGGTAGGGACAGAGAGGAAGTAGAGTCAGCAGGGGCTCGGGGACAACTCCAGGTTTTGGTCTTGGTTGACAGGATAAATGGAAGGGAAGGCATTAAATAAACAGTGGACTAGTTGTAGGTCTGAGATGAAGACTGGTGGGGATTAGGGGTGTCCTTAGCCAATCTTCAGGCCACACAGTCCCTTGTTACCTGGACTGCCAGGGGGTAATAACACCATCATCAGGGCCCCCAATCAGCACCATGCGGCCCACACGAAGGAAGTTCTTCCGCCACGCTGCAGGTTGGGAAGAAGAGAGCCTGAGTCAGTCACAGGGTCAGGCCAGGTTGTAGAGGGGAACATAAGGGGTCAAAAAAGCAGAAAATGGGACCCACATAGAAGCGTAGGGTCTCACCAGTGGCATTGGGATGGTCTCTCTCCCCGTTGATCAAGGCCAGAAAGCTGCTGGCATTGAGGTACAAGTCATCGTGATGGGGGTCTGGGTACAAACAGCATTTAGAAAGACAGTCAGAGAAGCAGGGAGAGGAGGCAAGACCAGAGACTGTAAGACCAATCAGGAGGCTACAGTAACAGACAAGGTGAATAGTAATATAATGTAGCAACAATAATTATAAACATGATAGCAAACACCTTTATCTTGTACCTACTATAAGCCAGATACTATTCAAAGTATATTATATTCATTAATTTATTTAATCCTTACAACCACCGTATAAGGCAAGTACTATATTATTACTGTACAGATGAGAAAACCCAGCCACAGGAAGGTTAAGTAACACGCAAAGTCACCCAGTAGGGTCAGACTTCAAACCCAAGTAGTCTGGTCTTGAGAAGTACCTCTGACCTGGCCAGTTTGGCTCAGCTCTTAGAGCGCTGGCCTGAGGACCAAAGGGTAGTGGGTTCAATTCCCCATCAAGGGCACATACCTGGGTTGCAGGTTCAATCCAAGGCCCCTGGTCAGGGTCCTGCAGGAGGCAATCAATCAATGTGTCTCTCTCATATCGATGTCTCTCCATTTCTCTTTCTCTCTCTCTCTCTCTCCCCCCTTCCTTCCATTCTGTCTAAAAAAATCAATGGGAATATATCCTCAGGTGAGGAGTAACAAAAACAAACAAAAGTACCTTAGGCATTTGCACTAGGCCCACTGCTTGTTTCTGAGAATAAAGTTTTACTAGAACACAGACACATGAATTTACATGTAGTGCATGGCTGCTTTGACACTAGTGTGCCAGAGTTGAGTAGTTGTGACACAGACCACATGGGCTGCAAAACTGAAAATATTTACCATTCGGCCCTCTGAAGAAAAAGTCTGCTGACCTCTGCACCAGACTGTACTTTCTGAGACAATAGGTAATACATACAAAGCATTTTGAACAGTGCTTGTTCACACAGTAAGTGTTCAATAAATACACGTTATCACCGATGTTATTGCTTTTGGTTATGGTAGAGGGGGGAGCAGCAGGCCCCACCCTCCAGAGTACCCATCCGTGGAGGTCCAGTTTAGCATCCCCTACTCACCATGCCAGTAGTTGCATATGGAGAATTCCTGCCCCCAGGGGCTATAGCAGATCCTGTACAGGTTAGACCTCATGGAGGTAGGGAACAGCCACTTCAAGTAGTCCGTGTCTGGCAAGAGAATAGTGGTGCCAAGTAGCCCAAACCTTTGTGCCCCCAATACTCAGGGCCCCCTATGAAGCCCACAGTACCCACTCACCTCCATACTGTCCCATCTGTGGAGAGGAGAGAGAGATGAAAGAATCCACATTGTGCTCATCCATCACAGAGAGCAGTGCCCGGCACACCAGACCCCCTGTCGGCAGACCACCACATTGAGCCTGATTTAGGCACAGCTGTGCCCAAAGTCTCCCGCCTCTGCCTCTCCCCACACCACAATGTACATGAAGAAGGCTGAGGCCCAGAGAATACAGACATGCCCTACGGCAAAAGGTCCCACGTCATGTAAGTTGACAGAGCCAGAATTAGATTCTGGGTCTTCTGATTCTAACTTGGGGGTGTTCTTTACTGCCCCTCTCACTATCTCTTAGGTCCAAGAACCATGGGTAATAGGGAAAGAAGGGGGCAGTAGTGCAGGGAGCATCCCACTCAAGACACACACAGAGATAGACCCAGGTACTGAGGGAAGTCAGAAAAGGAGGGCTCAGGAACCAGGGTACTGGCTGGCACAATGTGGTTCAGAAAAGGGGACACTAGGAAGTGTCCCTCAGATAAGGATCAAGCTTCATATAGTGTTTAGGGTTGGGGGGACACCTACCCTGTGAGTAGCAGATGAGATGCACCCCTTGAGGGGCCTTTGCCATGATGGGGGCCACTGCCTCTCCGAACCCTTGCACCTGTTCCCACAGGGGCCGCAAACTCTCTCTCCCATCGAAGAGATCAAGTACTGTCACCACAGTCCCAGGGTGTGTCTGTGGGAAGGGGGCAATGCTGCAACTGGGGATGAATTATGAAGCCCCTCCACACACCCTCTGGCTGCGCCCAAATGCCTACTGTACCCTCCTAGAACCGGAATCTTGTTCCCCACCCAACACTCCCCACGCCAGCAACAGCTCCCTAGGAACTGGGCAGGCCCACAGGGGCGGCTTTCAGATCCGCATTCTCCCTCCCTAGCCACCGTGGATGCCTTCGGCGCCCCACAACCAGGTGTCCCCTGCCAGACCTCGTTGATGAATTCCAGCAGGTGGCGGAAGCTGTATGAGCTGTCAAAGAGCCCGTGCACCACGATGACCGGCTTGTAGGAAGTGCGATGGGGCGCGGGGGCTGCAGGCAACAGCAGCGGCGGCAAGAAGGGCAAAAGGAGCAGGATCCCCGCAGCGGGGAGCCGCGGCCCCCGGAGCCCCAGCATGCTCTCGTCTGAGAAGGGGCGATGAGGGCTTATGAGCGAGGTAACAATGCCCCCTCCCCTCGAAACAGACAACGGGCAATAAAGCCTCAACGGCCCGGGCCCACCTCAGGTCCTTGTCACAAAATAGCCAACTTTTAACTTACTCAAGTCCTCTCCCCACAAACATACTCCCCTACCACGTAGATGCAGCAACGCGCACCCGAAGTCCCGCCCCCAGTTCAGCGGGGCCTGGGTCCCTAGGCCTAGGGTCTTCCTAAAGCATTATCCTAGCTGTGCACCCCCGGGGTTTTGCAGGAAAGACCTCTGAGCAGCAGCACTGGCCCCAAGGAGAGTGCAAGCTCCCACCGGGCCTGGCTCGGACAGCCCCGCGCCGCCCGCTGTTTACTTCGCCCCAGTCTGGAGCCCCGGGGGGAGGGGCAGGGGAGGACGGCACGCGCCGGGGAATGACGGGTAGGAGAGGGGCGGCTGCCCGGGGTCGCGCGCAGCCGTCACGTCCGGGGCTTTCCCTGGCAACCGTGCCAGCGTCCCGGGCAACGCGGCGGGAGACCGGAGGGGCAATGGAACTTTCCATTGCGCCCTAGGAGTGGGGGAGGAAATAGGCGGAACGATCCATTTAGATAGGTGAGGAGAGGAAGGAGCAGCAAAGAGGTCCTGGGAACAGAGAGAAGGCCTTCGCCCCAGCGCGCAATTCTGAGGTCCGGCTCCGCAGCGGAATACGACGGTCTCTTACCCGGCGGGCGGGGGGACGCTGGGGGACAGACTCGGGGAAGGCAGCCCTCCGCACTTCGTCGTCGCCTGCTGAGCGCTGGAGCCAGTCCAGGCGAACCCCACCCCACCCCTGCCAGCCAGTCCCAGGTCAGCCTCTTACAACTCTTGATTCTGAAGTGCGTGTAGTGCCCTTGTCTCCAGAGACGCGGAGAGTCCTCCTGGCCCCTCGAGCTAAAAGAGTTGTCTGGCCCAGTTTCTCCTGCCCTACTCTCCTCAGCTCCCCATAAAGGATCCACCCCCAAGGGGCGGAGGGCTCCTAAGGCAGCACTGACTCAGGCTTCCTAGCGTGGTTTCGACCAGACTTTCAACCAGAGCGACCCCCACAGTCCGGCCCTTAGCATGGAGCTCGTGAGCGGCTCCCCACCCAGACCCTCCCACCCAGTCCAGATTTCTAAGCTCTGGGCATCTCCACCTCTGCACCTGTGTCCCCTGCCCAATATCCATGAAGAATTTGGTGAAGAAATAAAATGAACTTACTATAGCCAAGCTGCTGAATTACTCAAGTCAAGTAGGTTGAGGTATGATGAAAAAATTCTGTTTTTAACTTTAACTTTTAGTCCTGCATCAACGTCTGCACTTACATCAGATCTCCAGATTACCTCCTGAAGGACTAAGGACAAACTATCCAGATACCCAGACCACCTGACAGTGTCCAGACTGTCGGGTCATCTAGAGTATTACCAAACCAGAGGCTAAGACTGCAAAACTGATTCTTCTGAAGAATATACTTTTTACTATAGGAACGCTGAGTTTTTCTTTCTTCTCAGGAACACTCTGGGTATTGCCTAAGTGTGTTACTGGTATACAAAACCTAAGACCCTTAAATAAATATTTGTCATTTATTTCTGTCAAAGCCTCCAAATGCTTAATGACTTCTTTGGACACCAGAAGCCCCAGTTAGAGCTTTTTCTTAGCATTTAAAGATGTTTCCCTTGAAAAAAATGATTTTCCAGATTGTCTGAACCCCTCCCTTGTTTACAAGGTCTTTGCTGGTCTGAAATCTCTCCCAATCGAAACTATTTGAGCTCTGAGTCGTGTAGCATGAGAATGAGGTGATGATAGAGGGTTAGGGGCTCACACAAACACCACAGAAACTAGAATGAGGAGCCATGATCTAAATCTCTCCAGCCTGGGATTGGCCCAGGTGAGGGCCTCTGTACAGCTAGCTCTGTAGTCTCTGTTGAAACATGAGGGGAAGGACACAGTCTGGGAGAGTGGCTGCCTCAGGCGGTACTGGTCAAAAGGTGCGGGCAATAATGATCCCCTGCTGTGTCTTAGCAAAAAGCCCATCTCCCATAAGTCTGGGTAGACTGCCTGTCCCCCCCATCCCTCCCAGTCTATGCACTCCCAAGGTACAATAAGCAAATAAAAAAACTGCACTTACCGCTGTGCCCCCAGGTTAACTCAGGAGGTGGCTTTGTATGTTTTGAGGTTGGGGTGATTTAAGGAATGGACCTAACACCAATGGGCCCAGGAACCCTAAGAAGCCCAAGAAGCAAAGGGGTAAAGGGGATCAAGTACATGTTCCCAAACCGAGCTGCCAGAAATGAGCAGCTGATTCATCCTCTCCCTCTCTCAAAGCACTTCAACTCCTTCACCCTGGTGGAAGAAAGGACCAGTGCATCCCCTAAGCTTCCTCCTGGTCCTCCCCCCACCCCCATCCCAGGTGAGGCTTACTTGGAACTATTACAGACTTGAGCCTCCACTTTCCTTCCCATTCACCCCAGGCCAGGCTGGCAGGTTGAGGCTATAACCCTGGGAACATTTTAGACCATCGCAGGTCTCAACTCTGCACACACTTCTCTCTCTTACAGAGTTGTCTCTTCTAAAGTGGGGAAAGCAGGGTCAAGAATTTGGGAAAAGTTTCTGGGAGCTTGCAAGGACTCTGAGGGAAGCTGAAGAAGGGGAGGCCTTACTGGAGTGAACCAGATCTTCGGGGAACCAGAGTGTTGAATCCACAGAGCACCTGCTCCATTTCTCTCACAATCTAATCACTACAGCCAGTCTTGGAGGGGCAGACTCTAGAGAGTTCTCTCTCCCTCCTTCTTTTCCTTAGTCCCACCCCCTTTGCCTGGTCTTGCTTGCCTTCCTGTTTCCATGACAACTCCAAGGGAGCCCAAACTGGGGGCTTGAATGCTGGGGTGAAAGAAGGAGAGGCGAGTGGGGGTACATCTGAAGCGTTCCCTCACACCCGCCTCTGTCCCTTTAAGCTCTCTCCCCTCCCTGCTCTCCCTCTGCCCCCCCCACCTCCGCCACTGTCTTCTCTCCATCTCTTTCACTGCTGCCGGCTGCGCAATCCGTGCACTCAAGCTCCGGTTCCAGTTGGGGACCCCAACTCCAGCTGCAGAGACCCTGCCCCAGGGAGACCGCAATCATGTCATCAGAAAAGTCAGGTAAAAATCCACAACAAAACCTCCCACCCCCTCTACGGTCTCCTGACTCTCCCCCCAACCCTCGGCTCCAGCCTGCTCCCTTACCTCTCCCTAGTGGGTGGTGCAGTTCCATTCCCCTTCTATCCAGCTCTCAACCACCCCAAAATTCCCCCCTCATACTATATCTCTTCCTTCTTTTCCTTTCCTCCTTCCAGTTTCAGCCTCTGCCCCCTGCCAACAACAGGGGCAGCAGGGGGGAGGGGGAGGCAGTAAGGAAAGTAAAAGAGTGGCTTAGCATCAGCCAGGTACTGCAGCGATAGCCTCATTGGGAGTGACAGATGGGCAGATGGCGCTGGCTGGCATGGAGGCATCCAGTGAGGAAATATGGAGACACTGTCAGATGGGGGTTGTCAGGGGAGTAAAATCCAGCAGACCCTTCTCTATCAGCCCTAAAAGAAGTACTGAGATTCCCAGAGAGGCTAGGGCACCCCCTCCCCACTGAAGGAATGACAGAGTGGCACATGTCACCCTACATGTACTTATACAACTGTTGAATTGAGCACATGTCAAAACAGTGTTGCAGGTCTACCCACTGCATATGCAGGACTAGCTCAGACAGACCAATCCAGACAGCCACCCCCAAGGAGGACAGGCGGCTGGGTCTGCTGGTGAAAGCTGTGTGCACCTTGCTGTGAAGAACGAAGAGAGCTGAGGAGAGTTGTGACCTCAAAACTAGATTGAAAGACAGACGTGGGGGGGGGGGCACGGGTGGCCTAGATACAACCCCTCTCCTGTCCCAAGAACGAGAGATGGCTTCTCACCCATTTTCTCTGTCTCTCCCATTATTTTTCTTCACCCCGGACCGTCTATGTCCCCTTACCCCTCCTTATCTGTCTTCTCTCTCCCCGTACCCTCGCCTCTGTTCACCACCCCCAGGCCTCCCGGATTCAGTCCCTCACACCTCTCCGCCACCCTACAATGCCCCCCAGCCACCCGCTGAACCCCCTGCCCCGCCCCCACAAGCAGCCCCCTCCTCGCACCACCACCACCACCACCACTACCACCAGTCCGGCACCGCCACCCTCCCGCGCTTAGGGGCTGGCGGCCTGGCTTCTTCCGGAGCCACCGCTCAGCGCGGTCCCTCGTCCTCTGCCACTCTGCCGAGGCCCCCACACCACGCCACGCCCGGCCCGGCCTCCGGGGCGCCCCCACCCGGCTGCGCTACCTTGCCCCGCATGCCACCCGACCCTTACCTGCAGGAGACTCGCTTCGAGGGCCCACTGCCCCCGCCGCCGCCGGCCGCCGCCGCCCCGCCCCCGCCGGCGCCCTCCCATACTGCCCAGGCCCCCGGCTTCGTGGTGCCTACGCACACCGGGGCGGTAGGCACGCTGCCGCTGGGGGGCTACGTGGCCCCCGGCTACCCCCTACAGCTGCAGCCTTGCACTGCCTACGTGCCGGTCTACCCTGTGGGCACGGTGAGTACGGGGCCTGGGAGGAGGGGAAGGGCACGATGCATCAGGAACTGGAAGTGGGGACACACTGGGGGCTAATGGAATAGAGAAACAGGCCCAAGGGACCTGGAGGCGTTCAGGGGTAAGGCCTGGAGAGAGGAGGGGCTAGGGAAAGGCCTGGGAATGGGGTGGGGGAAGATGGCTGGCAGTCAGTCGAGGTCAGAGATCATGGCCTGGGAGGGAAACAGAACGGAGGAGGAAGACACCTGGGACTGAGTGAGTAGGGGAGGCCAGGTGGACACCTGGAGCGAAGAAACAAGGTCTGAAGTAAGCCAGGGCAGCGCCATTGGGCCGTACCTTGGGGGAGGGAGTGTGGAGACACCCCCCCCCCAATCTCCCAGGATAAAGGGTCAATGACAGCAATGAAGGGAGAAGAGGGACCCAGGTGGAATTTATGGGTGCTCTGGAAGGGTGGTTGATGATCATGTTCTTTGAGAAGCAATGCGAAAGAATTGTGTTTTAAAAACCACCATTCCAAAAGCGGAACATTGTGGGGCTCAGAGAGGGTCCCAGTGACGTCGTCTCCTCCCGACCTTCCTTCCACAGCCCTATGCAGGCGGGACCCCGGGGGGAACGGGAGTAACCTCCACGCTCTCCCCGCCACCCCAGGGCCCAGGGCTGGCCCTGCTGGAGCCGAGGCGCCCGCCGCACGACTACATGCCCATCGCTGTACTGACCACCATCTGCTGCTTCTGGCCTACAGGCATCATCGCCATCTTCAAGGCAGTGCAGGTGGGGGGGGGGGGGCGCTCGGTTTTTCTTATTCCCAGGGAGTGCTGGACTTTGTGGGGAGCATTTTAGAGGGAGGCCGAGGCTTGCAAGTGAGGCGACAGTTCTCTGATCCGCTTTCCTCAACAGGTGCGCACGGCCTTGGCCCGCGGAGACATGGTGTCGGCCGAGATCGCTTCACGCGAGGCCCGGAACTTCTCCTTCATCTCCCTGGCGGTGGGCATCGCAGCCATGGTGCTCTGTACCATCCTCACCGTAGTCATCATCATCGCCGCGCAGCACCATGAGAACTACTGGGATCCTTAAGGACGCCCCCGGCCCGCACCACCCTGCGCCCCTCGACCTCCCAAGCGCATTCGGCAGTCCAGCCGCGGATCCAATGGGCGCCCCGCACTCCCGGCCCTGGGGCGACCGGACTTCGATACATCCTAAACTCCGCCTCCGCAGAACCTCCGCGTTGCGGGCACGCTCGGAATCCAGTTCCTCAGGAACCCCGCCGAAGCCCACACCCCCAAGGACGCCGCTTCCCTGGATCCCACCCAAATGCCGGGCCCGGCCGCTCCAGACCCCCATCCCCTCTAAATGCAGCGCCCCCAAAGGAGCAACTTGGGTGTCTGTTCCGCAGCCAGGCGACTGATCCCCCGAACCCCGCCTCCTCCATAGGCTCCGCCCCGGCTCTGACAAAACCCCGCCTCCAGGTCGGCAGGCTCCGCCTTCTCTTCCTCGCGGGGGTGATTTAGTCCGGTGATTGGGTTCGAGGCGCCAGGCCTCGCCCGAGACCGACAGACTCCTCCCCTTCTCTCGGCGGGAGGACCGATCCCTGGGGTAGCTATGGCCCCACGCTCACTCCCGTGTTTTGCTAGCACAGTGTATCTCCTACACACAGGTCTCTGCCGATTTTCATGCCAATTCCAGAACCTCTGTTTTTGTTTTGTTTCTTGGAATGAAATTTGGGAGGTTCCGGGTTTCGGACCCTTCGCCCTGGGATGAAGATTACGTCCTAGGTCTCTGTAAATATTCCCTTCCACCTCTCCCAGTCCTTGAGCAGTTAGGCAGAAGGGAACGCAGGGTACGGACCTTCCAATGCCCGGAGGGAGCCGGCCTGCTCTCTGCTCCCCTGGGCAGTCCCCACCTTATTTTGATCTGTGTGTGAGTGTGTGTGTGACTTTCTGAAAGACTATATTAAAGAGTCTAAGTGGATTTATTACCCACAATCCCAAAGACTGCAGTCTAGCAAAGACCCTGCTCTTTTTGTTCCCCCTTTCACCTCCCCTCATTTCCCCTTGGGGTGTGGTGGGGAAAGAAAACTGACAGATTTTCAGGACACCAGAGAGAGACACACAAATGCAGGGAGAAGGGTTCTCTGGGGTCCTTCTGGGGAAGATCTTGGGGTGCATTCTCAGTGGGGATTTCTTTCCCTGGCACATCTTTTCCACTTCTTACCACACAGGGCCTAGGGCTTTGGAGAGGGAGAATGTACAAGGAGACCCAGAGATCTATCCCCAGAACTCTAGGAAGTCAGGAGGGAAGAAGAGGGCAGAACATTCTGAAAAAGTTGGTCAGAGATAGGGTTGCAGGGGCAGAGAAAAGATGCCAACTGCCCACACCTGTTTCCTGCCTGTGGGTGGAGGGTGGCAGACAACTTGAATTAGAGTCCTAAGTGGTGTGTTGTACCAGTATAGGGAAGGCAAAAAGAACAGAGAGCTGTGGGAGCCTGTCTCAGTCTAGTCCAGCTGCTATAACAAAACTATCATTAACTGGGTGGCTTATAAACAACAGAAATTTATTTCTGAGAGTTCTGGAGCCTGGAAGTCTGAGATCAGGGTGTCAGCACGATCAGATGAGGGCCCTCTTTTGGGCTACAAGCTTCTCATTGTCTGCTCACATGGCAGAAGGGGTGAGGAAGTTCTGTGGGGTCTCTTGCATAAGAGCACTAATGCCATTCATGAGGGCTCCACCCTTAGGACCTAATTACCTCCCAAAGGCCCATCTCCTAATACCATCTCTGCACATTAGGATTTTAACATATGAATTTTGAAGGGAACATATCCAGACTACAGCAGAGCCCCATGGAGGAGGTCAATATTCTCTCAAATGCAGTTGGGTCTTGTTGTCCTCTTCTACCCTGAAATCAGCCAGGGGGCTTCTTGGGGAGGGGGGAGGGAAACAAGCAGTGGATTTGGTATCTTCAGTTGCACACCTGCAGGTCATGGTCCTATCCTGAGTCCATGCATTCAAACAACATGCAGATACCATGCAGGATACTGGTGATACATCTGCCAAGATAGCCAATGAGAATACTGACCTTATGGAGTTAATAATCTAGAAGGAAAGCCATGCACCAGAATAGGAGACATAGGAGGAGGATGGGATGGGGTGTGGAAATCATGGGTTCTTCTTTAGATGTTTCAGGTTGAATGTGCCTTCCTCACCAAACTTTTTTAAAAATATTTTTTAACTGATTTTTCAGAGAAGAAGGGAGAGGGAGGAAGAGAGAGAGAAACATCTATCAGTTGCCTCCTATACCCAAACCTGCAACCTGGGCATGTGCCCTGACCAGGAATTGAACTGGCAACCTTTCGGTGCCTGGGACAATGCTCAACCAACAGAGCCACACTGGCCAGGGCCTCACCAAACTTCTTGAAAAAAGAATTTGTATTTGTAACCTCCATTTCCTCACCACCTACTCATTTTCTCCCCTTAAAAAGGAATATTGTTGTCACAGATATGTCTGTGTCTGTCTTTATTGCACACCCACTGTTTCTTAACCCTTTAAAAATCTGCTTCTATTCCCCACTCTACTGAAACTGTTGAAGGTGGCAGGAATGGCACCAGGTGTTAGGCCAGCGAGGTCAGACTGGACCTGGGTTCAGCAACCTCAGTAGTTGTGTCTGGCTAGGAAAGAATTCAGTGACAAGATTCAAATTATAAGAGAACATTTATTTGGAAAATCACAGAGGTAGTAGAAGTAGTATGTAGAAGAAACGGGCTTAGAAAATAAGTTATAGAGGTAAAGGAAGGGCCCTTGGAGATTGGGAGTGAGGAAGGTAACTGTAACATTCCTGAGGGGTGGGGGAAGGTGAGAAGGTGCTCCCAGGGGGAGAGCATGCTGGGTCCTCAGTCTTAAGTGTTTTAAAGGTGGAGATTTTAGGGGAGGTCCCAGGGGAGGATCTTAATAGAATATTCAGCAGCTTTCCATGTGTGTTCTTTCAGGGTCTGGTCTCCACTGATTGATTGGTTGGCACCAGGGCAGGTGGTCATTATCCAACACAAATGGCCCTGAGTTCAGCCATGGGGTCACTTGTCTGGTTTTGCTGCTTTTCTGGGCCTGGAGCTGAAATACAACTGAGGCCTAGATCTTATCTCTAGGGAGGAAGGGTCAGGGGGTCCAAACTGCATAACCAGCAATATGTTAGGGGAGGAAAGGTCACCCTGAGGGTGAGGCCACACCCTACAATTGTCCTTTGCTAGGCACCTGGGACTTTCCATCGTCATGACCTTCTGCATACCTGGCCCATCATCCTTGCTCTGTTCATGTCTGTCTAGTTGCTTACCACAAAACTGCTCTCTCAAATAGTACCCAATGACCAAAATCAATGGCATTTTCCTGAACCCTCCCATGTTTGTTCCTTCACCCTGGATTCCTCACTCACCCAGGCAGGGTTCAGGGACATATCTCTTCCCCCTTTACCTCTGTCACATCTCTAATCATCTTCTTCCCCTTGTTTTTCCTCCTCCCTTCCTCTAAGTGCCTACTCTGGATTTTCCCCCCTTCTTTGAGATCTTCTTTTGAAAATCTCATCCACTCCAAACTTAGACATCATTTCTTTTTCTTTTCTTTTTCTTTATTTTATTTATTTTTTTGAAGGGGGGGAGAGAGAGAGAGATCTGCTTCTTTTCTTTTTTTTTAATTATAAGAGAAAGTTTATTTAGAAAATCACAGAGGTAGAAGAAGTGGTTTGTAGAAGAAATGGGCTCAGGAATAAAGTTGCAGAGGCAAAAGAAGGGCCCTTGGAGCTTGGGAGAGGAAAAGGTAAAGGTCAAGTGCCTAGGGGGAGGGGAAAGTGTGGGTGTGCTTCCCAGAGGGAGAGCTACCCAGACATCATTTATTTATTTATTTATTTATTTATTTATTTATTTATTATTTATTTTTCTTTCTTTCTTTCATCTGTCTTTTTGTCTGTCTTTCTTTTAAATATTTTTCTTTATTACTTTTAGAGAGAAAGAAAGGGAGAGGGAGAGAGAGATAGAAACATCGGTGAGAGAGAACATCGATTGGCCGCCTCTTGCATGCCCCTCACTGGGGATCAGGCCCACAACCTAGGCATGTGCCCTGACCGGGAATCGAACTGGTGACCACTTAGTGCATGGGTCAACGTTCAACCACTGAGCCACCCTGGCAGGGCCCCAGAGGTCATTTCTAATGCTTCTCTGCTATAGAATGTTTGTGTTCCCCCCAAATTCATATGTTGAAACTCAATCCCCAGTGTGATGGTGGGGCCTTCAGGGGTACATAGGTCATGAGGATGAACTGTCATGAATGAGATTATTGTCCTGATACAAGAAACTACAGAGAGCTCCCTTGCCCCTTTCCCCATGTAAGGACAAAGTTGTAAGACAGCTGTGTATGAACTAGAGGTGGCTCTCAGCAGACACTGGATCTGGTGGTGCCTTGATGTTGGATTTCTCAGCCTCCAGAACTGTGAGAAATAAATGTTTGTTGTTTATAAGCAACCCAGTTCATGACCTTTTGTTATAGCAGCCCGAGTTGACTAAGATACTATTCAACCTATATATTTATATGCAGACATTCTTTCAGGGTCTGTGGAACACATCCACATGGACCATGCTGCTGGCGTCTAAACTCAGCATGTTTTAAACCAAACTGATGAAAGCCACTGAAAACCTACTTCACTGTCTCTATTAATGGCACCATTTTTCCAGCACCCTTATCTGAAAACTTGATGCTATTAGCAGACAGTCCTCTTAGTCAAAGGGGGAGGACTGTTCTCTACTTGGCTCTTGTCAATCTCATAAAAAAGATTTCAGATGAGTGACAGCAGCATTGCAGCAAAGCAAGTGAATTTATTAAGAAAGTAAGACAGCCCAACTGGTGTGGCTCAGTGCTTGAGCATCAACCCACACACCAAGAGGTCACCAGTTCAATTCTCAGTCAGGGCACATGCCCATGTTGTGAGCCAAATCCCCAGTAGGGGTCATGCAGGAGGCGGCCAATCAGTGTTCTCTCTCATTGATGTTTCTATCTCTCTCTCCCTCTCCCTCATCTCTCTGTAAAATCAATAAAG